TGCTTTCACTAGAAAAATATTGCTGTTCCCGATCCAACCAGACCACCACGTTATCCCCTGAAAAATTAGGAAAATCAAGCCTGAGTTGATCTCGTATTTGGTTAGACTTCGGACCCCTTCAATTGGAACGGTCAGGTTCTGACTCACTTGCAGCGCTACTCTGGGAAGATGCGTTGTCAGAGGAAGCATTGAAGATGATAAACTGTCCTTCCGGCAATCCGGCCCCCGAATTCTTTTAAGATTTATTTTGTTTAAATGATGTTGTCGATGATGATGTTTACCGCTTCCTGGAATTTTGCTTTCTTAGCGTCTCCATGTTAAGCAAACCCAGAAGAGTGTGCTTTGATGCCAATTGATGAGAATTCAATTGCAGGGCAACAAATCTTTACTCACAGTGTAAAGAAGACTTATGTTCTATCTCTAGGTGACCCAGCTTTTTAACCCCTAAATCTTTATTAACTCCAACAAGGTGTATTTATTATACCACAACTTTAGTCCGCTGCCTAATGCTTCTTACGTAGCAATGATAAGGACTCCTGCAGCACACAAGCTAAAGAAACCTACAAGGAAACATCATGTTATTCTGGCCTAAGTCTCATAGTCTTTGAGCCGAATATTATCCCTGCGTGCACGCTTGCTACGACGTTCAAATCTGTCCGCAACCTCCTCATCAGATCATTCGAGGATCTCAAAAGTTATCAAGCTCTATGTAAGAAAAACATTAAAGGATGCGAGTATTGTATACATTAAAAAGTAAAATAAATAAAACTTGTGAACCAGCTAGATGTGATCTTTATGGCCATTTTATATTACATGTAACCTTTGAAGTAATTTCTTATATATATGTGATAAAATAAAGAGAGAATAAAAAAGTGACGTTGTAACATTTAGTAATTATAGTTATGTTCAAATCTACTAGAAATATTCTCAAAATAATTTGATCACATTTTTTGTTCATAATTTTGTGCGAGTAATATTTTAGAAAACCCCTCTTACTACTATAACTATAGAATCAAATTATGTTTAATTACTTGTTAATAGAAAAAGTTATTATGAAATGGTCCAGATCAAATCAGGGTTGTGGGTGAATCCTAGAATTCCAGAGATTGTGGTGAGACCTGACCTCGAAAATCTAGCGAAGACCTATGGCAAATTTTGGTGCACATGGCAATCTGATAGAGGTAATTTATATAATCAATAATAAATACGGAAATTGTCCTAAATAGGACTAATGAGTTCCTAAAAAGCACAAATAGGACTACTACTTTTAAAATTCCCTAAATAGGACTAAACATTGATTTTCTACCCTAAATACCCCTAAGAGTATTAATTCATAATGAAATGCTTTAATTCATAATAAAATCATAAAAAATGTAAAAAATATTTTAAAAACGTAAAAAAATTGTAAAAAATTTATAAAACATTTATAAAATAAAAAAATTAATTTTTTATTTTTTAAATTTTTTTAAAAAAATAATAAAAAATTGTAAAAACCCATAAAAAATGAAAAAAATATGGATACTTTTCCCACCGCCTCTCGCCGCCTCCCAGCACCACCACCTCCGATTGGTGAAATTTCTTCCACTTTTGGTAAAAAATGCCATATTTTTCTGAAAATGCCAAAAAGATGGCATAATTACTCTTCAATATGCCAACATTTTCATTGAATATGCCATCATTATGGCATTATTTAAAATGTTGGCATATTTTTCTCCGGTGATGGGAGTTGGTGGTGCTGGGGGGTGGCAGGGGTGGTAATGTTTTTTTTTTTTATTTTATGATTTTTTTTATTTTTTTTATTTTTTTTTAAATATTTTTTTTATTTTTTTTAAAAATATTTTTTATTAATTTTCTTTTATTTTTTTACGATTTTTTAGTATTTTTTTCGATTTTTATAATTTTTTTTATGATTTTATTATTAATTAAAACATTTTAGAAGTTACAAGGGTATATTTGTCCAAACACACATAAATAGTCCTATTAAGGGAATTTAAAAAATGTAGTCCTATTTGTGCAATTTTGCCACTTTTTAGTCCTATTTAGGGAATTGACTCTAATAAATAGACCAATTTTTGGTATACAAATTTTTATACACATTTTGCATTCTTCGTTTGTATATATAAACAACTCTCAAATTTTCTGCATTTTTAGCCGTACACAGGCAAATTAGAAAATATACAAAAATAAATGTACATAAAACATGTACAAAAGTATTTTTCCTAATAAATAATGATTAAAAACAATTCGAGATTTTGAAATTAGATTCTGTTCGTCACTTTTTCCTAATAACATGTGACAATTAAATTCAAGTAATTCAATTTTGATTTATAATTTTGAGAAAAAAAGGTAAATTAAGTAATTTCATTTCTTATTTGGACATATTTATTCATATGCCTAGTAGATATTTTTTTGCAATTTTTAATTGATTTTTATGACAATATTTATTCTTGTTGAAAGATAAAAATATACTATGTACCTAGTATGAACTAGGCATGGACCAGCTCCGGGCCGGTCCAAACCGGGCTTTTATTTTTTGGGAGCGGGCCCGGAACCGGCCCGGGATGCAACCGGGTCCCGGCCGGGCCGGTTCATATATTATTTTTTTGCTTTTCTAATTAACCCCCGACCCCCTCACCCCCCACCCCCAAACCCCCTCAAAACACCCAGCCCAACCTGGGAAAAACAAAAAAAAATGAAAAAAATAATAATAAAACCCGGCCGGGCCAGTTCCAAAGGAAGGGTAGACCCGGAACCGCACCGCTCTAACACCCCGGGCCGGTCCTAGGCCCGGTTCCCAGGCCGGGCCCGCACAGTGGCCGGCCGGGCCAACCGGAACCTGTCCATCCCTAGTATGAACGAATAAATAGAATTATCAAAAATCATGTATGTTTTATATTTGTTTAGTAATAAGAGTATAATAATTTTTTTACAAAATATGAGATAAAAAGTTGGTGTACTAAAACGTGTGTGGTAACGTTTAAAACAACTTATATGCTTATTTTAATTATTTTAGAAAATGGCATTATACAATTACTCATATTTGAAACTGCGCTTAAAATTGGAGATGTATCTAAAAATATGAATCGATGTTTTAAATTAAGAAATTGAAATAATATTGATCAAGTGTAATTTTTAATAAGTAAACTATGACTACATAATTCTCGTAATCAACTAATCAAGTATAAAACGTATTTCTGTATATTGTTATTCCTCTATAATTATAGAATTAGTATTAGTATTTTATAGTAAAGGTTAATGTATTTGTGAGTAATATAAATAAATAAATTGAAATAATTTCAAATTAGTGCATCTCTATTTTAATTTCATATTGAGATTATCAAATTAAGGAGTTGAAACAATAGTGATCAAATGTATAATGTACTTCGTAATAAGGAAATGAGAAGCACCTTGTGAAAATAATTTTGTGGGGAGTATTCCACTATTTAGGAAAATCCGTGCTATTGACAATAAATTACATAGTACGGAGTAATAAATATTGAAATAATTATATAAATATGATCAAAATAAAGATGGTTTACAAAAATATGACTAGTTACTAGAGTAGTAATGAAATCATAGTAATTCATCAAGTTTTGAACTTAAGTTACCACAACATTACATTGTAATAATGAATAGTCATATTTATGCAAATAAGTTTTATTTTAGTAATATTCTTGTAAAAAACTCATAAATATTGTTAATAATCCCACCTGACTTTGCCAATTTTTCATTTTTATTTGTCCCAAAAAACTTTATCACTTTCCTTTTAATGCAATGCAGTTTAGTTCATTTCTTTCTCGTCTACCCAAACTTTAATTTTAATCACACAATTTTTACTATTCTAATTTTCTATCCAACATCAACTTGGCAAAGTTGAGTAGGACGTTGGTAATATCACACAGATAAAGACGTATATGAATATATTGTGTATTGTATTCAAGTAATTTTTACCGTTTAGCTGTGTAGAAACTGAAAACTTGGGCAAGCCCATTCGAGTGTCAGTGAAGTTAAAGTATTTGGCCATTTTGATGATGCAGGGGACAAGCTTCCTATAGGTCTGCCAGCACTAATGATGTCCCCGCAAGCAGTGAACTTAGGGAGGGTGAAACCGGAGCTTGTGCACAAGAGAGATCAGAAATACAACATATCGACGGCTGACGCTCTGAAGGAGTCTCGTGTGGAGATACCAGAGCCAGAATGGATCAATCCTCAGGCAGACTACTGGAAACAGCACGGCAAGGGTTTCATCATCGACATTGAGACCCCTGAGATGAAGAAGAGGGCCGGAACTGCGTTTCCGTGATCCATCCCGGTCTCATCAGCAATTTATTCCCCTAATAAGTTTGTAATGGTAGCTTGTATAAGCATACTCTGAATAAATAATACACAAGATTATTATAATGATGATGGATACAGTGTGTCTGTTAGGTATCAAATGATAATGAACTAAGGTTTAATGCGTCAAAGCTCCTCGACTCCTCATGATATATAAGGGAAAACTGACAAATAGATCCTCAAACTTTCATAAAAAGGTCAAATACGTCTTTATATAGGAGGCTTTGTCCGGCCGTCGCAATTTGAGGCAGTTCCTGGTGAAATTTTTTGATGAAAATTTTTTAGCATCTTATTCATCAAGTCTAGTTTACTCATACCAAATTTCAGCTAAACCTTCAATCGGGAACGTATTCAAATTAATTCTTGAAGATAATTGCGCATTTAACTGCACAGTTAGTTTCAAGAATTAATTTGAATACGCTCCCGATTGAAATTTTAGCTGCAATTTGGTATGCGTAAACTAGACTTGATGAATAAGATGCTCAAAAATTTTCATCAAAAATTCCACCGGAACCGGAAACCGCCCCAAATCGCGACGGCCGGACAGAGCCTCCTATATAAGGACTTATTTGACCTTTTTATGAAAGTTCGAGGACCTATTTGACAGTTTTTCCTATAAACAATTACCTTGTCATGATTTAAAATTTAAATTATGTGCATTACCTTATGATTTAAAAAGCGTCAAACTCCCACAATCATAATTAATTAATCAGGTATAGAACATCTTGATGAAGCAACAAATTTGATAATTTAATTTATTAAAACTGTTTTTAGGCGCAATCATCACATCATAACATTTAAAACACGTGATTTTCACTGTTAAAACGCACGACAGAGGATTTGGGGTACTTGTTAAACCACGACAAACAACTGTGCAAAATTTTTATGCCACTGAGATAGACACTTTAAACCGTGAGCATTGTTAGCTGGATGCCGACTTAGTAGCGGAAGTGGGTGAAGAACCTATTAGTGTGGCGTTGGAGTTATGTATGAGTTTTTCCTTGTGATAGTCTTTCATTGCCTTAAACCTCAAATCATCGGCGTATGTAGCTGCCTCCGGGATTTCATGCGGAACGGCAAACTTCCCCTCCAGCATTCCCACAACCTCTGACATTGCAGGCCTCAACGACGGGGTCGCACTGGTGCATGTCAGTGCTACTTTCACTATTATTTCTGCTTCATCTTTGTTGATACACTCTCCTAACCTCGGATCAATGAGCTCTTCAAGGTTCCCGCTCAGTTGTAAATGACAAGCCTGTTACATAATCAAGAATGCAATGCATGGCATTAGTTTATTTTTCTGTCCTGTGTTTACACAGGGGTAATTTATTATTTTACTCCCTCACTTATGCAACCCCGCCCATCCCCCATTTAACTTTTGCAAAACTCCTCAGTAGTTGTACCCTTTAGTGGGTTTTAGGACCTTTATCTTTTCCTACAAATATGATCTGAACTACATATCTTGAAATTTAACCTGTGGTTCTGATCTGAATGTTTTGTCTAGGGATCTTTCAAATTGGGTTTTATTTGAATTTCAGACGTTTCCAATCTTATCCAACTTCATACAAAATATAACATTTGTTCTGAATTTTTGCTCTAGCCTAATTTGAACGCAATGAGGATAAGTAATAAGAAGAAAAAGTTGAACCGAACGCCACTTTAGTCCTCGCCTCCTCGGTTGTTGTTTTACCGGTTGTTGCCACAGCCCGCAGAATAACAACCTTAGCACCAAAGGACTAAAACAAAGGATGACTTTTGCACAAATTGTATAAGGACTAAAAACACAATTGACTCTTGTCTATTTGCTCAACTGGATATAACATGTGAGTGGGGTGTTGTTGAAGACTTGAAGAGAATACCCAATCCAGAAGACATATGCAATTGTGGCTGGGCATGAAAGTATTGTTGTTCTTGCCACTGACTATTTCCAGTAGCACAACCCCAAAGCTGTACACATCTACCTTGTACGTCAAATAACCCCATAATGCATATTCTGGTGCCATATATCCTCTGAGTGAAAAAGGAATAACAAGACCAACGATTCCAGTCGCAGCAAGAAAGTAAGGCAAAAATGAACATAATCTAATACTCATGACAGTTAAATATTTTCTTTGTAGTAGTTTATGAGTGCGCAATGAACTTACATTGTTCCAGCAATTCTCGTACTGATATGTGTTTTCTCATCTTCATTAAGCCTAGCTAGTCCAAAGTCTGAAATTTTAGGGTTGAGGTCTCGGTCAAGCAGCACATTGGTAGCTTTAATATCTCTATGAACAATTTTAAGGCTTGATTCCTCGTGAAGAAAGGCAAGACCCCTAGCAATCCCTAAACAGATTTTGAACCTTGTTGGCCAATCTAACAGCATCGCAGAACCTAAAAAATAACACCCACAAATTATTGGAAAAAAATAGTTATCCTTTAATATATTGCAACAGGGTAAACGGTAAACTGTATTCGATGTTCACAATATCTCATTGTCGTACATTTTCTGTAGTAGAATGATTTACAAAAAAGTCAAATGCAATGGGACAACATTTTTTCATGTATTTCGTATCTATTTTTGTATTGTAATATGTTGTGTGCCATACTGATCTCGGGGTTTGAATCTAATATATAAGCCTAGCTCTTAAGAGTCTTTTTTGGAGGTCCTGGTCCGATTATGGTTCATTTGTTTCATTATGCCCCATGGTTTGTGCCAGTCATTTGAGGATCAATTAGGCCTCTATTTGTCCACTTCACAAGATTTGGGCTAAGAGAAAGTGTGTTAAGTGTCTCAAAGTGGACGTTCACCGACTTTGAATCTACTCCCTCCGTCCCAATATAAAGAGCACATTTGCGTTTTCAAACATTTTAAGGAGGAACACTGTTTGACACTGTTTGGCACTGTTTTGTTTGTCAAAAAGGAAAATGTGCCTTTTATATTGGGACGACCCAACAAGGAAAATGTGCCTTTTATTTTGGGACGGAGGGAGTAGTATTAACTATTTTTACTGTGAGGCACTACTTGAGTCATCTTGAGATGAGTGTGAACTAACTCAATGGTAGTTACTTGAAAATATAAACAACATCCAAGCTTTGTTCCCAATAAATTTTGGGGTCGGCTAACATGAGCCGAACCATGATATCGGAGCAAAAAAGAAAAGAAAGATCAGAGAAATAAAAAGATAAGTTAAGATAAAAAAAAGACAAGATAAAGATAAAGATATGATAAAAGAGCATAAGAAGGATAAAAGATACGTAGTACAAATAACATAAGAAGATAAGAAAGATAATAAAAAGATAAAAGAAAAAGGAGAGAGAAAAGAGAAAAGTGATCAATCCTCATTCCTCCACAAGAATATTCGCGCTCCACTTTGCTTTCTCCAAAGACGTATATCTCATCCAACCCAAGAAGAACAGTTGAAAATATAAACACAATAAAAAACTAGACCAGAACTAGGGTTGGCCGGGGCTTTGTTTGGCCCACCTTATCTTGGCCATTGTGTAGGACTTACCGAACAATGCACTAGCAAGGCTATTGTTATCCATGTACTCATAGACAACGAGTAGTTGATCTCCTTCAATACAACATCCGTAAAGCTTAACCAGATTGGGATGTTGCGAGCAAGATATCATGCCAATCTCATTCAAAAACTCTCGGTTCCCCTGCTTTGATTTGGAGGATAATTGCTTCACTGCAATTAAGGTACCATCACCTAATTGACCCTACAAAGAACCAATTCTATAAGTGGAAGTCAGCAAAAGAAATGACAACTTTTCTAGTCATCTAATAATCTATTTTATTTAGTCATCTAATAATCTAATATGTATCATACCTTGTACACAGGACCAAAGCCACCTTCTCCAAGCTTCTTTGCATCATCGAAGTTATTTGTAGCGGCTTTAATCTGTTTTAAAGTATATGCTACCATTTGCAACTCTACCCCTTCCGGATCTGTCCAAGGAACAGCAGGGTCAGTCCTCACTTAGTCACTCCCAATATATTCCTCAAATCAAACTTCAGAAATATCACTTGAAATCATTGACAAGATCATTAAAAGGACAGAGCATTTGAATGCCCATTTTAATATTTTACATGGCTCCACCTAGCTTTTGGTATTTATTCATCCCACGATCCTAAAAGCAAAAGTGTTCAACTTCAAAGCTTATTGTTCTACCCGGGTCCCTATCTTTATCCTATTTGAACATGTTGGGTTTAAGAGCATCTTCAATGCTACAATGTGCACGGTGCACACGTGGCATGAGAGATAGCCACATAAATATAAATATAAGTAAATAAATTCTCTCTCCTTATTTGAATGATTTTATACAGTTTTGGTAAGTTTTTCTCCACAACGTCAGGGAGACCATCTAGATGTTGACATTGCAGTTGACATTGCAGGGAAAAACTTACTAAAATTATATAAAATCATTCAAATAAGGAGAGAGATAATTTATTTGCTAATATTTATGTGGTTATCACTGATGCCACATGTGCACCGTGCACATTGTAGCATTGGAGATGCTCTAATGCACCAAACCCCTTTGTGATATATAAATTCCGCTTATTAGTCCCATGTGATATAAAAATACGTCAAACCCCCCTATATTATAATTATTCACACACAAAACCTCATCTATGAACAAATTTAATTGCCAAATAAATGGAAAAAGACTAGGGGCCTGTTTTCTAATAGAGATATGTTCCAGTTTTTCAGAAAACTGGAAAACTGGAAAAAGGGAAACAAAAATGTGTTTACCAAAAAACATTGCTGGAAAATTGCAGAAAGGAAAACAGAAATTTGCGTTTACCAAATCGTTTTCCAAATCCAAAAAAATGAGATACGTCTCTATTTTTCTTAATGAATTAGAAGTGACTTTTACGATGTTGCAGTGCCGTTACAATGAATTTGCATACTTACGACTAGCGTTATATCCACTCCGGTGTCAGAACTTGTCCCGTCCGGTTAACGACCCGACGGTCCCTATCTGGTCCGGTCCGATCATTGACCCGGCGGTCCATGTCCGGTCCGGTTGACGGCAGAGCAATCCCGGTGCAATCCGATCAATGATCCGGTGGTCCCTGTCTGATCCGGTCCACGACCCGGCGGTCCCTGTCCGGTCCGTTCGATGACCTGGTGGTACTTGTTTGGTCCGACCGACGGCCGGGCAGTCCTGGTCTGATCCGATCTAGTCAACAACTCGGCGGTCCCCGTCCGGTCCGGTTTGAGTATTTTTGCATAATTGAGATATTTAAAGATCTTGAAAAATCTACTTGCATATTCAATCATTAATATTAAGATAAGTGATTTCCAAATTGCTATATATGTTCTTGGAGAGTTGGAGGGGTTTTGCACATGAATAATTATAATACAGTGGGTTTGACACATTTTTTTCACATAGGAATGATGCGTCCAATTTACATATCACGGGGGACTTGGTGCATTAAACCTGAACATGTTAGAGTCCCATGTTCATATATTACAAAAAGAAAGGGACAGATTTATAAGTCTAAAATTTGGGTATAATTTGCACCTAGTGCACATTATAGGCTACTTGAGTGATCTCTACCCAAACTTGAACTCGGTCGTATTTTGTTAAAAAAGGTGTCACAGACACATATAGGCTAAACTTAATAAAAGCAACAAATTATTTTAAAAATAGGGAAATTGAAGTTTGCACCCCAGTTTTTCATTAAAATTTGAGTTTGCATTTTGTTTTCGAAATTATTAATATTCGCATAATAAGGGCAGCCCGGTGAACATTGACGTCCACGCAAGACTAGAGTCTGAGGAAGGGTCCCACCAAAAGGGTGTATAGGGGGTAACATTCCGTTGTCAATGTTGACAAGATACCGCACCTAAGACTTGAACCCGTGAGGTCGTGACCTCTCGGTCAACATCTTAATCGGTGCGCCAATGCTCCATATCCAAAAAATTAAAATTTACACCCCATTTGTTTTCCCAAATTGGAGGTTGAATTTCAATTTCTAAGAGATTTTTCGAAGTTCAGAATGCAAATACTAATAATGGTCTGGATGGAAAAATTAGGTGCAAAGTCGAACTCCTCCTTACAAATAATGCTAGAGTAGGTAAATATGAATTAAATTTTGGGACGGAGGTAATAAAATGAATTTTCTTTGACATTAAAAGAAAATGATAGAAATAAGAGATAATACACTCTTCACGGAAACTCCGGGTTGCTCTATATGATCACGATTATTACCTTTATTTTTCCCATTTCGGTATAACAAAGAGCCTTTCCACCAGCAGAGCAAACCAATAATGATCAAGACAATGAACCCAGCCACCAGTCCAACAATAAAAGGAACAATAGCTATCTTTTTATCCCCATCTTCATCTTCACAAGTTTTGAAATCTATTTATAATAATATAAAGAAGAGAAAGATTACATCTGTAGAGCTCTTATACTAGGTATGTGTGGATGAAGGCATTTGGGGGACTTCGAAGGGCTTAGATATAATTCTATATTAAGTATAGAATACACCAACAACATCATTACCCCAGTGCCGCAAAGGCTCCCACCTACAGTGGGGTAAGGGGGGGTCGGATGTACGCAGTCTTATCCCTGTATTAAAACAGGGAGAGACTGATTCCGAACCCATAGTGAAATTCACGTAGCACAGAGAGTCTAGTGAGCTATTTTGCTTTATTCCATCATATTCCCAAGCTAAAAAAATAGTTAGTCTTTGGCTCTATTGCAAATGATGGAACTATTCACATATTATATTAACATTTCCAATTTTATGAAATTTCAAACATATATATATATATATATATATAGGGGAGGGTTCTAGTGAGAACCCCTCTTAAAATGAGAACCCGTGAGAACCCCGAGAACCGGTGGTATTTTTGGCTGAAATTTTTTGTGTATGTTCCTCATCAAGTCTAGTTCATCCATACCAAATTTGAGCAAAAAATTCAATCGGGAAGGTCGTCAAATGATTTTTGAAAGAAAACTGGTCCGGAATATACATATAAAACGCAGTTTTCTTTCAAAAATCATTTGACGACCTTCCCGGTTGAATTTTTTGCTCAAATTTGGTATGGATGAACTAGACTTGATGAGGAACATACACAAAAAAAATTCAGCCAAAAATACCACCGGTTCTCAGGGTTCTCACGGGTTCTCATTTTAAGAGGGGTTCTCATCAAATATATATCAAGATAATAGATTAAAGAAATGCTTGCCATTGTTTGATAAATTGTGCTTTTGGCCTAAAAAAGCTAAAAGATGTATTTTGAAATAGGTACTTCTCCTTAACTTCATGCGCTTTAAAGCTAAATGTTGTAAGCAGGGAAAAGGGTGCTTAAAATTGTTTTTCACTTTTTTACCTAAATAATGCACCAAAAAGTACTTCTCTACCAAACGCTGCAACTTCAACTTTAAAAAAATCATGTTTATGTTCAAACATTACCAACTTTTAGATTTAAATGCTTGTTCTAGAGAATGTACATGGCAAAACCAAACACTACATAAGCCATCCAAGCCCTACATCCAAACAGACCCTTCATCTTGTCACATATTAGTATTGTTGTTCATAAAAGAAAATCACCTAACTAATATCCACTTGTTAATAATAAAGGGGAAAAAAAGTGATTGGCAAGTCTTACTTGGATCAACTGAAATAGCTGATATGAGAGAGCCATAATGTCCTCTAAGAGGAATGCGAGTGGTCCCTTTTCCGGCCCAATAAAGCCTAATCTCCAAGATATTATCAGTTACACTAACATTAAAATGCTTGACGACAGGCTTTAGAGCTCCTTTAGCCTCATCTGCAATGTTGAAGCTCTTCCAAACTAAGTTATCCTGGTAAAGAAATTTATGTAAGCAATCTACATCATTTAAATGGTACACTTGTGAATGTCAAGATTCACGCATAAACACACCAAGAGAGACATGGGTTTATGAGGTCTTGGATTGGACTAGCTAAGCAATTGGACCTGTTCTCTTAGTATCTGTTTGGGAGGAGGGTTTTGGGGGAATTTCAAAAGAAAGGCTTAGGAGGGCATAGTCTATCTATCATTCTATCGGTAATAGAATGTTACGAAAAACTATTAAAAGGTGGTTGAAATGATACACAATCACATGTTAGGTTAATCTTTCAATTCCCATATTAATATGTCTCTGTGTGTGTGTACTACGTATAAACACACAACACTACACACAGGTAGGTTCAAACAGGAATGACGTCTTGATATGAAGCAGAATCTAGGCTTGGAGAAGAGGGGCAGAAGCCTCCGTGGGTTTACTGAAGGCGGGGACGGGCTTTAGCCCACCTTCGTGGGCTGGTTGCGGGCTGTTTAATTAATATTTATTCTTTTTAATTTTCCTGATTTGTTTCCTATTTGGAGTTAATCGGGATTTCTAATATTTATTTCCTATTAGGAGTTAATTAGGATTTATATTATTTGTTTCCTATTTGAAGTTGATTAGGATCTTTATTATTTTGTTTCCTAGTTGGAGTTGATTAGGATTTCTAGGATTTTGTTTCCTAGTTTGAGAATTAGTAGATGGGTATAAAGACCCCTTGTTAGGATTCATTTATGTTCATCTTGGAATAAAATTGGTTTTAGCCTTTTGGCTCTGGGCAACGATATTTTTATCGTTGATTATCTGGGCAACGGTTCACCCCGTTGATTTTATTTTTCTGTTCTCAACACGTCTCAAGGGAAGAAATGTGAATGAATGTGGTGTATGAGTGTATCCTGTTGAAGTTCTAAGGGCTCTAAAAAGCCAATAATGCATCCAAAATTGACCAAAATGTGATGAAAAACCTGCAAATAAACCTAACTTTTTATGACAGACCAAACAAAGAACTCGGAACATAGATGTGCACCACAAATAACCAAATGTATTGTTCTCAGATTTGTACCTTAAGTGTCAATCTCACCGGGACCACACCCTACACACACTAAACCCTTCTACCCAAAACCTTCGATCCAAACAGACGTTTAGTATCATTTCATGTGCACTATGGTCCAGTTGCCAATTACATCACATTAGATAAAAATGAACAATATAACCTGGATATATATGTCAAAAACACGCCTCCCAAGATTGTAATATGTGTCATTGTTTGTAAAAATGATCTCCGCGAAGTGGAGGGCAACATCGTAGCTCCCATTCTCCAAGCAATAACGGAAATAAGTGAGAGAAAGAGGAGAGACACGAGCATTCTTGTACAACTCAGGAAGACCATTTAATTGTACAGTCTCAATGAAACGTGTATTTTGATCATTAGAATCATCCATGAAATCGCCTGTGCTACTGAATCCCCAGTTTTCGTTGCTACTACTGAAATATTTTGCTGAACCACCTTCAACTCCTGCATCCCCTTCATAACTGACATCTTCATTTCTCGCATGGGTAGTTACATAATTACCTCCCGCATTTACATGAAAGGAACAACCATCTGTCATACATCAGAAACATTGTGAACAGAAAAGATGCATATAAGAATGATATCCCACACTACATGAGACCGTAGTGTTCCTTTTGGAACCTGGAAAAATTAAAGAAATATTAGAAACAAGGTTAGAACTCCATCATTTCCAATGGAGTCACTACTTTTTTCTTGGGAATATGATGGAATAAAACAAAATGACTCACTAAACTATTTGTGCTTCTTTGTTATGAAGCGGCCATCAATCCATGTGATTTTCAACTCAGTTTTCATCATGGGTCATCTAGATAAGGCTGGGAAGCCTTTGCGGCACTGAGCTCTAATGTCATAGGTGATCATGTTAGCCGACCACAAACTCTTTTGGAAATAAGGCTCGGATGTTTTTGTTGTATTGAAAACAAGGTTAGAATAAAATAGTTCAACATATTATTTGTGCAGACTCAATATATGTTTCTCTTTTTATGAAGATTAACAAATACTCTTTCCGGATTGAAATGATTGCTACAATAGGTTTGGCACAATATCTAAGGGAAAAGTATTAGGGATAATGAATAGTGTGGAAAAAGTATGAGAGTGAAAAAGTATAAAAAAGAAGATACTGGTAGAAAAAGTAAGGTAGTTGAATATTTTTAAAGGAAAACATATCAAAAATGGAAACAACAACATTACTCCAGTGCCGCAAAGGCTCCCACCTACGGTGGGGTAAGGGGGAAAAGCTTTTCCTAAGGCTTCCACATAAGAAAAACTTATCAAAAAGGGAAACAACAACAACAACATCCAAGCCTTATTCTCAAAAGATTTTGGGGTCGGCTAACATGAATTGATCCATGATATGAGGGCCAAAAAGAGAAGAATGATAAGAAAAATAAAAAGGTAAGGTAAAATAAAATGGATAAGAGAACAATAAATATAAAAATATAAAAATAACATAAGAACATAATAAAGATAAAAGATAAAAAGAGCATAAGAAAGATAAAGGATAAAAACACAGAAAGATAAAGAAGATAAAAGATAAAAGAAAAAGAGAGAGAAAAGAGATCAATCGGAGCAAACGTTGCAAAAATTAAAATGCATCCCCAAAAGGAACATGTAGCAAACATTTCAATCCAGAGGGAGTACAATCATACAACAACGTTACCCCAGTGCCGCAAAGGCTCCCATCTACGGTGGAACAAGGGGGGCCGGGTGTACGTAGGCCTACTTTATAAAAAACACAGACGATTTAGTGAGCCGTTGTGCTTTATTTCATCAAATTCTCAGGCAAAAAATAATGAATCTTTGGCTTCATTGGAAATGATGGAAAAGGGAGTAGAAGCATCATCATTTTCATTTTCATTTACCCCAGTGTCGCAAAGGCTCCCACCTACGGTAGGGTAAGGGGGGTCAGATGTAGGCAGTCTTACCCCTGTACTAATGTACAAAAGCACAGAGAGACTGTTTCTGGATGACCCATAGTGAAAATCGTGTCCAAAATTGCATGAACTTACTGCTGCTTCATAACAAAGAAGCGCAGACAGTTTAGTGAGTCATTTTGCTTTATTCCATCATATTCTCAAGCCAAAAAATAATGAATCTTTGGCTCCATTGCAAAGGGAGTAGAAGCATATGTAAAGAAAATAGAAGTCCTAATTAAAATTGAGTTTCCTTAGTATTTCTTCTGAGAAACTATTTTTCTTGGTTCTTTTTCTTATCACTTTTGCCCCTTCCAAAGAAGCGCAAACAATTTAGTGAGTCATTTCGCTTTATTTCATCAAATTCCCAAGCTAAAAAATAGGGAGTATTTGGCTCCATTGGAAATGATGGAAAGGGAGTACAAGCATATATAAAAAATTACAAACTCTAATCAAATTTGAGTTTGCTTGGTATTTCTCATAAGAAACTATTTTTCTTGGTTCTTTTGTTCTTTTCCTATCACTTCTTTCCCCTTCCAAACATTCATATAAAGGCATAATGTGTGAAATTGGAGACACATAAGTCAGGCATCACATTAAATATTACTCCCTATAAGTATTATATTATACAAATTTGTTTAGGAAGTTATAATAACTAATGAGTCTTCCATTCAAGATAAACTTCATTTCCTAAACTAGTAAATCCAATGTCTATATTAGATTAATTAATATAGAGAATAGGTTGAAGGGTAGAAACTCACATTTAGGACAGCTGAAACCATTCGTACATGGAAGAACTCTCTGTCTGTGACAAGTAAGGCACTATGTTAATTGCCTCAGTTGTGCTTTGAAATGGAAAGCAAACTACCACCTCCACCCCACTTAATTTGTAAACTTCCTTCTATAAGGATTTCCACTAAAACTAACTTATCAGAAGCTTAGTGGTCTCTTACATGGAACTTCCTGTTGAAGAGCTCTTGTACAAGTTTACGTATAGATTCCTAATTGAGAGGAAAATTACAAAAAAAACAATCATTTATTTCATGAACTCGGGACTTATTTTCCATCCACCCGAAAACAAATAATAGTAATTAATAATAAAGAATATGCAAACATGTTCTGTTGGCAGGCTGGCTGATCAGGACCTTGCCGAGTCAGATTGTTGTAGGAAAGATCACTGCATAAGGTACATGACATCAGATGACATGGAAATCCATGAACTTTTCTAAGATATAACTTAATTGTAACAAACTAACATGCCAAATAAAGTAAATCTTAAATATGTTAATGGTAGCTAGTGAGCCTACAGATTTATTCCGTCCTTCAAAATTGACTCAGTCACATATCCGCTGAGAGAGTTCCCAGTCAAAAATCTATAGAGAGAATTGTTATTCAGTTAGTGTCTTACGCGTGTGGACAAGGCCACTTGTCGCAACAAATATGATGCCTATGAAAATCCTTGATCAGAATTTCATAAAATTATAGCAACTTACACGAATTTTAGCATACTTCTTACGCTAATACTTTTCGGAATTTCTCCAACTAGCTTGTTAAAACTGAGATCCCTGTACAAAATGAAAAATATCTTATTTTTCTTTTCTTTAATGAATACTACTGGCACATTCTGCATACAAACAACTAAACTTTGTCCTTTAGTTATATATTACTTTGTAATAGATTATAGGAGGATTATCCGAGTGTTTTAAATGTTGGTTTGCATTTTTCATATTTGTTTGATGTGGGATGGTTTAACAACAATATTCAGTCAAGAAGTCTCACAAAGTAAATGACAACACCATTCACTTTTCACTCACAATGTTTGCAGTGTTCTCGAGTTCCAAATATATGCAGGAACTTCCCCAGAAATGTTGCAATTCCTCAACACACTAGAACCGATCAGAGCCCATATTATGAGCTGCTAGGTGTTTGTAATGAAAATCCAATTTCATGTACATTAGGGTCACTCAACTTACAGTATTACTAAGCCACCCATATCATTAAGTAGAGGAAATCCCTGAGAAGGTCCATTGATATCACTTATTCTCCTTCACAATAAAATGCACCACGAAAATTGTTATTAAAAACAAATAGCTATAATATCTCTTTCGTCCTTGCAAATATAGCATTTTATGTTTTAGGTCTGTGTAAAACTTTCATTCTGGTTATTCATATACGTAGTATATCATTTACATTGTTTTCTTTTTTTAGTTCCTCTCAGCCAACCTCCAATGAAAAATGGAATGGAAAACATGTCAACTTTTTTTAAACTCATGGTCAACTGGGGGGGGGGGGGGGGGGTAGAGCTAAAAAACGCTCACCCTTCCAATTTTCAGTTTACACAACTCTAACTCTTCTTAGATTAAATATTAGGCATTATAAAAATCTAGGAATTTCCATCATTTGCCATGGAGCGCCAAAGATTCATTATTTTTCGGCAAAGGATCCCACCGTAGGTGGGAGCCTTTGCGGCACTGGGGTAAATGAAAATGATGAAAATGATGATGATAAAAATCTAGGAAATTCATACTAGAGTTCTATAAGTCATGTCATATATTTTTAACGGAGGTTGATGGAGAGGGATTAAAAGGAAAACAAGATGAATAATAGGGATGAAATGATGAATAATAAAAAATGAAGGACATATTTGCATGGACGAAAAAACATAGTTTAAACAAATAAAGATGCTACTTAAAATAGCAGAAACCATAACATAATGTAATGAGTTGAAAATTTCAATTTCTAATATGGAATCATACTTACAGGTCAGTTAATTTGTTTAGAACAGATATGTTTCCTGGAACCGGCCCCTCAAGTCCAGTCGCATGTAACTCTCTTAATTATTTACCCAGACTAAATATTAGGTACCGAAAATTAAACAAAAAAAAACATATGTTGCTCACAGAACTTAGATATAAGTAAAGGCGTGGATACATACAATTTTGCAAGTTGTCGCCAGTTCTGTACATAATCTGGAATAGGCCCGCTCAAGCTGTTGTCATTTATCCTACTGCATTGTAAAGAATACAAAGTCAAAATTTCAGAGAAGAAAACTTTTCTTCTGTACATAGAGAAAGTCATAAACACGCTTACAAATCTGTTAAGTTTGTAAGTCCAGAAAACGTTTCTGGTAACTTTCCCGTCAAAAGGTTGGAGGATAATATCCTGAAATTCAAATATGGAGTACTAGTGCATCATTAAGGTGGATGATATTCCTTCAGTACATAGACACAAAGTGAAATCACAAAGGAAGAAGAAAAGAGTCTAACAGATTTTGCAGGCTTATAAGTTTCCCGAGTTCAGAAGGAATCATTCCTGAAAATCGGTTTCCTTCAAGATTCCTGGAATTACAAGAAGCAAGAAAAATTGGAAACTGTTTTTCCTCTGAAAATTGATGAATTTAAGATTCAGAAAATACTAGGGAAAGCATATAAGAAGTTATTGAGGAAAATTAGAAAAAGAAACATAGAGGAACATTTTTTTAGATAAGCTAAAACTCAGTAACTTTATTTTAGATATTTGTTAGCTCTCAGTTCATTTAGGATGTTTTCTTTTGGACTGTTTTCAGTCCCAGATCAGACCAGACTTCCGTAGTTATAAAATATACAGAGACCAGACGTTTACCAGACTAGTTCAGACCAGCAAATTTCAGTCCAAAAGAAAACATTCTTATTCATGTCAACTATAAAAAGACAAAGAATGCAACTAGATGATTTTCATTTCATTTTCATTTACCCCAGTGCTGCAAAGGCTCCCACCTATGGTGGGGTAAGGGGGGTCGGATGTACGCAGTCTTACCCCTGTACTAAAGCACAGAGAGACTGTTTCCGGATGATCCATAATGAAAATCGCGTCCAAAATTGCATGGACTGACTGTTGCTTCATAACAAAGAAGCGCAGATAGTTTTGTGAGCCATTTTGCTTTATTCCATCATATTCTCAAGCCAAAAAATAATGAATCTTTGGCTCCATTGCAAATAAAGAATGCAACTAGATGTTTTAAAAAAATCATATTTCATTTCCTTTAGAAACTTGCTCATCTTCGTGATCATAGGACTTAAGATATCAAAAGAGTGAAGTGTGTGAAGGATGTCGATCAAAGGATACTAATGGAAGATAAGGAAATAAAAGAGAGGTGGAGGTCATACTTTGATACCTTGTTCAACGAGAATAAAGGGTAAGATATCGATGATCTTACTATACCAGATTGTATGGTCAGTCGGGATTTTACGAGAAGGATCCAAATGACAAAAGTTAAAAAAAGCTCTAAGAAAGATGGGGCGGAAGAAAGCTGTGGGTCCAGATGGCATACTGATCGAGGCCTAAAAAAGTTTGGGATGGAGAGGCATCAAATGGTTAACACATTTCATGAACATGATTTGAAGAAACAACAAAATGCCAAAGTTGGCGGAAGAGTACTCTTATTCCCCTATTTAAGAATAAGGGTAATGTACAAGAATATGTCAACTATCAAGGGATTAAGTTTATAGTCCCACCATGAAGCTTTGGGAGCGAGTGATTGAGCAAAGACTTCGAAGAACTGAAAGAAGTGTGAAAATTTCAAAAAATCAATTTGGTTTTATGCTTGGACGCTGAGCAACCGACGCAATTCACCTTCTTAGACAAGTTGTGAGGAAGTATACATACATTAAATATGATCTGCATTTGGTGTTCATTGGCTTAGAAAGAGAGTGTGATGGGTACCTCAAGAAGTTCTTTGGTGGGCCTTAACTAGAAAATGCATATCACATAAGTATATCACTATCATCATGGATATGTTTGAGGGTTGTACTACAAGTGCTCGTACTAGTGTAGGGGGACCACAGAGTTCCCTATTACTATCGGAGTGTATCAAGGATTGACTCTGAGTCCTTTCTTTTGTGATAGTCATGGATGAACTTACGAAGTCAATTCAAGAAGATATATTATGGTGCATAATGTTTGCCAATGATATTGTATTGATTGATAGGACACAATCGGGTGTTAAAGCAAAGTTGGAAGTATATAACAAACATTAGAGACCAGACTGAATCCAAGTAAGACTGAGTATATGGAGTGCAAGTTTAGTAGAGATAGAAGTAGTGGTAACAGTGGGTTACCCTTGATAGCAAGGAGACACGGATCTGTGATATGTGATGAACTAGATGGAGAAGTATCTTCATAGAATCAGAGCAAGGTGGATAAAATGGAAGAGTGCATCAGGATTTCTATGTGGTCGAGATATGCCGACTAGACTGAAGGGTAAATTTTATCGGACGAGAATTAAGCCTGTATTAATTATGGCATAGTATTGGACGTTGAAACAATGTCACATTCAAAATATGAGTGTGGCAGAGATGCGTATGTTGTATTAGATGCATGGACATATCAGAAAATACCGCTTGAGGAATGGGGTATTCAGAGAAAAGGTGGGAGTAGCATTTATATAGAAGATAAGAAGCAAGGGTCTCGATTGCGGTAGTTTGGTCATGTGCGTAGAAGATCAAGTGATGCAACTGTTAGAAGAGTTGAGAGGTGGGGAAAAGAGACGGGGAGGAGAGGGAGAGGAAGACCAAACAGACAGGAATCAGAACTAATATGTTTCTTCTTAGAGAGAGTGAAGTGGAGGACGCATATTCGTGTGGAGAATTGATCTCTTGTCTCTCTCTCTTATCTTTTTCTTTTATCTTTTTATCTTATTTATCATTCTTATGTTCTTAAGTTATTTTTATATTTTATCTTTTTTAATTTCTTTGATCTTACATACTTCGTATATCTTTATCTTACCCTTTTTATCTTACCTTATTTTTTTCATTTTTATTTTTCTTTTCTTTTTTACTCTGATATCATGGATTGATTCATGCTAGCCGACCCCAAAATCTTATGGCAGTAAGGCTTGGATGTTGTCGTTGTTCATTTCCTTTGCATCATCAAAGAACTCATCAAAGAACCAAAAGTAAAACCAAATATTAGAGAGAGAGAAATGTCCTTGGCATAGTTTTCCCTTTCCCTAGCATTTTCTGACAATCAAACATAACCGCGTAAGGCATGAGGAGGGAATGGAGGAAAGAAAGTCCCCATGGAAAATGAAGTTGTTTTACGTATAGCATAGTAATGTACAATCTTGGTCCCTCTTATTTCATTCTTTCTTTAAGGGAGTGTTTAAATTGCTTCTACTTTAAAAAAGTGTTTTTAAAAAAAAAAAATGGAGAAAGTGTTTAAAAGTAAAAGTTGATATTGTTTGAGAAACAAGTGTTTCTGAAAATGTAAAAGCTAATAGTATTTGAAAAAATAAGTGTTTTTTGTTTCACAGAAAAAGTGATAAGAAGTTTAAAGCATCTCTCCATGTTGCGCACTTTTAATGATAGATACACCAAATTCAGCAGATTACTTTTGTATATTAGCCACTTGAATGCTGAGGAAATTCTCATATTTTGATCAACGTAAGAAGGTAGCAGTTTAGCACAGCACAGAAGAAAGAGAAAGAAGAACATACAGAGTAGTCTCAACACTCCCAACTCCTGTTTATTCTTTTCCACTTGGGCTAGCCCAATTCTATTTAATTTAGGGTCTAAACCCCTTTTATTCTACAATATTAAAAGACCAATATTATTCTTATTATTAGTACTATCTAGGTCTCCTCAAGGTGGGGAGTAACTGAGTAAGAAACAGCCATGCCAGTACGCTTTATCCTTGCTCCTCTGCCTTCCCAGTACTTCAGCTCGGATAGTTTTCTTCATTTTGGTATCCACTCAATCTCTTTGTCAACATAGTGATCTTTTTGGCCAAGGTTGTTATCTCCTTCACTGCCCCATGTCTGATCTCTTACAGAATCTCCAATTGAGAGTACAAAGCCAGCTTCAGGAATGTAAGTCTCAGTCTTCACATCTTTCACCTTTGGAATTCCACTCCATCCCAGTAAATCTTGCATCTCCCTTTGAGCCTCATCACTTTGGAGGATTATCCCTTCAGGTTGCTTGTGTGGTTGTGTCAGCATGTGTCCACTATAAAGTAAAATTTGAGAAACCAAAAGTTGGATGTAATCAGGAGCAGTTTTGATTGCCTCTAAAACTTTTAAAGCAGAAAGGCTGGCAGGAGGGTCTGCCCTGACTGCAGCCTGTAGTATCCCAAGCACGTAATACATAGTTTCATCATATGTATGCTCACATAAGTTGGTGATTCCCGAGTCTGCAACAGTTAAAAGATGTGAAAGTGCTCGACAAACATCTGTCATAGCTTCTTCATCCTGCATATGAATCAATTGCTGAACAACTGGCAATGCAGCTTTGACCAGGTCAATTGGTGTTGGTGGTTTGCCTCGACAGTTTAGGGCATCTCCAGCAACATTGCTCAGAGCCCACACATCCTGCTCACGAACTCCATCATTAGCCCACACATCATGTTCTATGACAGCCCTAGTATGTTTGATTGTCCCAGATGCGACATTTGGCAGTGCCCAAGCAACTGCAGATTGCCATTGGGGTAAGTCACTCCTTCCAAGGATATATTCAAAACTGGGAATAACTCCTGCTTTAATCACCTCATTAATCGGAAGGCTAGGCTCAATCGACATAAGCTTTCTGAATGGTGCAGTTGCTTCAGTCTCTTTAGAAGCAAAGTTTTGAGTAATTCTATACTTACCAGTAGCAGAGTTTGTATTCATACCGTGAACACCAGCATTCTCCTCAACCTGAATCTGCTTATCAGGGAACATTGAACTAAATAAAACTTCAATTCCGTTTGCCACTTCACCTGTTGAACTATGACGGAGGGTAACTCCAACATAGTTCTAATAGGAAGTTCCTGAACCTCCACACCCCTCGTGGTAAAGTTTCTAGTACCATCAGCGCCTCGTTGATTGGAATCATCCTCATTAGGAGCTCCAAAAACAGCCTGCCTCGGTTTCAGCAACATAGTTGTAGTTGATAATGCACCAATTAGTACTAATAATTGGGCCCAATTCCTGGGCCTACTAGAAAGAGTTGTGACTAATCCAATATGGGATTGGGCCCAGTTATAGATACAAACACATGAGGTCCAGCATTCATAGTAATATCGGATTTCCACTCAAGTGCTTGAATCCTCCTCTTTGTTTTATTTGTGATTTTTACCTGATCCTCAAGTTGCCTTGGCAATTGCTCTTTCACTTTTCATGAACGAGTTCCATTTTCATCCACCTCAGGAGGGTTCGAACCTTCATGATGATTTGGCAGATACCCTGTAGTTTGAGTCGTATCATCATCTGGATCTGGTTCCTTGATAGATGGTTCAGCCGGCTTCAACTCAGAGTTTATTTTCAGCGATGCAGTCCCTGGCGAGGAAACTTGAGCACTGTGATACTCGGAAACCTGAGATGAAAGCTGCGAACACAGAGAAACAGTTTGCGATGGGGAACCGGGAACAGCCGTTCGTGGAGAAGTTGCTCACAGAAACCCCTGCGAACTGGAATGATTTGTTAGCGTCAAACTTTGCGACCTATGAGAACCTGTACGTGACTGAGACGACACCTGAGAACTGGAAGCTACTGTTCGAGACGAAGGTGAAGCCGTTTGCGATGACATCTGCGAACGGGAAGCTTCTCCTCTGGATCGCGTCGGACTTGGTCGTGAACTGCTGGCGGATGATGAAGTTCGCGATTGCGAACTGTGAGAGGAAGTTCGAGTCTGCGAACTGTTAGAAGCCTCTAACGATGACGATTGGTGAGATACTAGTAACAACAAAGTTGTCAATTGCGATCTGGGAGCTTCTTCGTGCGACACAGTCTGCGCACTTAGCGACGAAGATGGAACCTGGTTTCCAGAATTCCGACGATGTCTAGGAGGACTCCTCGCTCCGTCTCTATGTCGCCTGCGAAGTTTGCGCAACATGCGGCGCATCTCCTTCCACTGACTTTCACTATTGTCCATACATTTCTCCACCTCTTCTTCAACTGTCTTCCAGTTCGTTGAAACTGATGATCGATTCAGACTCCAAGAGCGATTGCTCTGATACCAATGATAGATACACCAAACTCAGCATATTACTTTTGTATATTAGCCACTGGAATGCTGAGGAAATTCTCAGATTCCTTCGGGAATTACAGATCAACGTAAGAAGTTAGCACAGTACAGAAGAAAGAGACACTTCGAGTAGTCTCAACACTCCCAAGTCCCAATCCAGATTCAAAGTTCTGTCTGCCTCTATTCTACTCCCCCAACTCCTATTTATTCTTTTTCACTTGGGCTAGCCCTGTTCTATTTAATTCAGGGCCTAAACCCCTTTTATTCTACAATATTAAAAGACCAATATTAGTCTTATTATTAGTACTATCTAGGCTCTATCATTTAAGTGCTTAATTTAAGTAAAAGTTGACACTTGAAAACACTCATTTCAGCTTTTTTAAGTCAAAAGTTGAAAAGCACTCTTTTTAATTTTTTGAAAACAGACCCTAAGTCTTCTTCAGTCCGTCCCAAGTTATTTTCACTTTTCGATAAAGAAAAGGATTTTATGTTTGATACTGCTTCTCTCTCTAAAGAAATTTAACCATATAGTTCCCACACACAAAAGTGCTACAGAAAATTATTACCTCTCTAGAAAAGAGAAAATCAGCTTGCACAAGTTCAAAGATCGAGGGAAATATTATGTAACAGTCCATTTAGAACGCACAACATAGTAGGGAAAGAAAAAGTGGAGTTATAAGCGGAAAGAAAAGTTGAGAGAAAATAAATTATCCAAACAAACTCAATAAATTTATTTTATACGAGTATATTTGTTCAAGTTCTTTTTATTTATTTGTGCCCATCATATTTCAATAAACTAAGATACCTACACATATGAAGAAACAAATCAAAATTAATTATATTTCATTTTCATTTAAATTTTCCAAAGTAAAGCCTAAAACAAGAAAATAAATTTCCTTAAACATAAGCTAAAACTTTTGGAATTTCTCAGTACACCATTTGTGAACATCTCGGTAAACCATTCATGCACATACCATAAAAATTGATAACAGGATATCTGGAAATGTAAACTGAATACCTTCATTATAAAAAAAATACTTACAAGTACGTGAGGGTGGTAATATTTCCTAAAACTTTTGGTATGTCTCCTGACAACCGGTTTACAAGAACAGAGCTGGAAAAGAAATTGGAGTTAGTATTTTTCTACACAGCATAAAACAAAAACAAAAAATTGTTTAACCAAAGACGATGAAGCTCACATGGACTTCAATGTTACTGATCCCCATTCTACTGGTATTGTACCGGTGAGACAATTGTATGCAAAATCTCTGAAGTAAGAAAATTTACGAAAAAAATGAGTCTACATCAATTAAAAAAGTAGTGTAGATGCATATGAAAAAGGCTCCTTCTTACACTTGTTGTATGTAGGGAAGTTTTACCAGTTCATGAGGGAGAACTCCATGAAGACTGAAACCCTTTATTGCACTGCATGGGTAAAAATCATTGTCAATCCTGGAATTTTGTAAATGAGAGAGAAAAAAAACTCTTGATAATAGATTTGTTAATCTTTTTTCATCAGTAATAGTCAAATTCTGACCAGAAAATATAGCTACGTTTTGTCAAAAAAATGTGGATCGATTCAATTTTAGGGTCTATTTGAAAAATGCTAGAAAAAGAAAATAGTGAAAAAAATATCAGAGAAATATGGAAGGGAAAAAACATGAGGTAATACAGAATTTATTTGAGCTTAATAAATTTATTTTTTGCATTTTTTTAAACACAAAAATCTATTTCTATTACATAAAGACTGAGATATTAAAAAGCATATTGTAAAATAAAAAATAATCATATTTCATTTTCTTTTGTATTATCCACGGTAAAACCAAACACACCAAATATCAATCTCTAGCATTTTTTCCTCTCCCTAGCACTTTGCAGGATCCACACATAACCTTACTCTATGCTCATTTCAAATGCATAGAATGCTACACATATTTGCTAGAAATTTATAAAAAAATTAAAAACTAAATGCTGCATAAAGAAATTGACTCTTCTTTTGTTAACATGATTATAAAGGAATTATAGAATAATATTTATAACCTTACGCACAACTTTCTTTTTTTGTTAACATGATTATAAAGGGATTATAGAATAATAGCATTCGAGTATGCTACATGAATTAGGAGTATGCTGTAAAATCACTGTCTAGTTGCTAGCATGTTTTTGGTCGTTTATTTATTTTTCCCGCTTAGGCCAACCTAATTCCACATAGGTCTGACTTCCTACCTGACCCCAATTAATGCTCTATTTCTCTCCTAGGCGCTAGGCCCCTTAATCAGGGCATCAGGCACATAGAACATGTAAGGCGAGGATTATTATGAATGTGTTGAAATTTATGAATGAAACAAAGTTTGGTAAAACCGCAAAACCTCTTAGAGCCAAAATAATAAGTCAAAAGCTACTTATTCTGCCAATAAGCACAATTAAGTAGATAAGCCACTTTTAGTTACCAAACAAGATTTAACCATATTCCGAATATGAGTATATAGTATATAGGGGATAGGGAACCATTACATTTTCTGAATATGGCATAATGAATCATTTCCAATTGTGCAGTTGCAGTCAACACTATTATCAGACCAATTCGGCTGTGGTGTTACCACCCCGACTATTGTACTTTCGCAAGGATCAAGGTCGAAAGTCCAGTTTTTTGCACCCATTGTAGTGGCAATTTGTCGTAATGCATCCACTGACAAGTGAAACAAGACATCATATAAAGAGGCTGTACTTGTGTAAAGTTGCTGAACAAGTCTACATTTGAAGATAAACTCTACTTATTTACACATAAGATCTTATTCGACAATTGCCACATTGCCATATGATTAATGATGGGCAAATCTTAAGAAGTGGACTAAGTGTGGAGAAATTCTCATTGTTTACTTCTCATGAAAGTGGTTGTTCTTCGAAATCCCAAACAAGGTACTCAGTACTCACATGACCCCTGCACATGAAGAGGGCACACCCTTTATGTAAATACATTGGTGGGACCCACAATTGGAATTTAAAACCAACATGGAGGTAGACCACAAAAAAGGTGTAACGTAGGACTACATTCTCTCCATGTTGGGAGGACAGTCATAGGAGATTTTGGAAGGCTACTTATACATGTGAGATTTTTTTAAACAAAATAAAGAAATAACATAATTAGTAATAAAACAATCATTTTTATTACTAACCAAATAAATATTCATTTTTAGAAACATTCTATTTATCAATATATACAAAAACCGTCCAAAATGTTACCATCAATCAAAATAGACCCGTCTGTTTTGTTTGGATGGGACTGTTTTGGAAGACGGTGTGTATCATGCTTAAAAGAATGAATATAAGACCGAATAAATGTTCATAAAAATATTACATGGTTACATGTCATGTTACTTTCGTTCTTTTCATAAAATCTCAATTCGTTCATAAGCCCTCCAACGATTTCCTTCCAAAACCTTCCATCCAAACAGACCCTTAAAAACCTACCTAAAATTATGTAATGTCCCTAGTTTGGTAGTCCCTACAGCCAGAACATGGGAACTGATCACCATGGAAATATTAAAGATAGAGGCAGACCAATGGCTGAGCCAAAATATATCGTTAAGGGAGCCCAATTAAAAAATTTGCATTGCAGGGGCCAAAGCTTAAAACATCAATATATTTTTCATAGATTATAAATATTTCTACATATATATACATTAGAATTTTTTTCTTGGGGGGCGAGGCCCCCTCTCTCTGTCTCCGCCCCTGAGCCTTGACGCATACATATAACAGCTATCTTTACCTGTTAGATGTTATTCTTGGGGGGAGAATAACATGATAATATCAAAAGTTCCGAAGTTGTTGTGATTAGCCAAATAAACAGATGTATGATTTGGTAAAAAAAAACAGATGTATGATAGTTAGAAACAGAACAGTTATAGTAAAACTATCCTTCCAACTGAGGAAGAGTATAAGGAATCAAAACCTTGAGCAACTTTGACCAATACATAAAACTCGCAAATTCATATTAAAAATTGTGACTATTCCCCATTTTGACCAAGCTTTAGAAATCCATAAAACTCTCAAATTCCTTGTTCGGGTTCCTGATAAATCTCAAGGGAAATGGAAAGGAGAAGGAAAACATGAAAAATGTCACCTTTGAGCTATTTGCTATACTTGTAAGCAAAAAACGGGTGTTAAAAAGTTTACAAATCAAGGACGGGGAGATCAGATTCACCTTCATCTGGGGCGGTTCTAGATTCAGAAAACGTCAACAAGATGAACCAGCTAAGTGGGACGATGAATGAAACGACAGTTCTTCTTCTGAAGGACATACTTCTTAAAGCTTCAATTAATGTGTGCGAATACACATTTTTTTTACACATTGTGTAGTATGTATCAGGTTATTTTTAAGTTTCTATGGAGCACAATTCTACCTGTTAGTTGCAATCCACTGTGAAATGTTGAGAATAGACTAATTCTCTTTCTTGGAAAGAGGCGTAGTGTAAGGTCAAAATGAATTTTGGAATCTTAATTATGTGTAAATTAAATTAAATGAGGGATTAAAAGTGGGAAAAGACAGGGGTGTGTTCGGTTCTTTCGGTTCGGTTTTGACCTAAAATCAAATATGGAACTAAAGTAAAAGTTTGGTTCGCTTTTGATTCGGTTTTACACTCCAAAACTTGGAACCACGGTTTGATTGGTTCAGTTTGTTTCAGTTCGGTTTCAGTTTTTTCGGTTTTTTACTAAAAATTTGTCATTTGATTTAAAATTGATATAAAAGTTGGAGAGATCAAACATATTACATAAAATTGCAAGCATACTTGAACATATAAAGAAAATAATAATAAACAAATATGTCTTGAATTATATGAGTATGCGGGATAGATAAAAGTGTGTATATATTCTTAATTTACATTGTTTGTGACTAGTTTGAAAAAAGTTTATGAATACATACGTCCTATGTGATATAGCTGAGATGAATATTTATTTGTTTTATCAATATAAAAAATTTAAGTTACAAAAAAAATTAAGTTACATAAAAATAAAAGTTAACTACTACTAATAACCAGTAAAAACATATAATCATGCAACAAATTGCAACATACATACATAAAAGACATAATACATCAATATAGCTACATTATTATGGGCAATGAATGTGTAAATACATTTATAAACTAAACTAAACATAGCACAAACATTATTTCTCTAGCATAAGAAATTCAAAGATTATTGATGATATTAAGATTAATGCTTACATTTAACAAATGAAATTTCATATTTTATTTTTGTTCGGTTCGGTTTTGAAGGGTAAAAATAAAAAATGAACCATACTACTATGGTTCGGTTCAGTTCGATTTTTTACATTCGGTTTCGGTTTTTAGCGGTTCGGTTTTATTTGGTCGCGGTTCGATTTAATTTGATTCGGTTTTCGGTTTTCGATTTTCGATTTTTCGGACTCAGCCCCTAGAAAAAGGGGTAGATGATGGTAAGTGTAGAGAGGAGATGACAGGGATGGAAGAAAATGAAAATGAAAATAAGGACGTTTGGAGTGGTGGTGCGGATGATGTCATGTTGACATCATCTCTGCGTCATAAAACTCAAATTTATCAAACTCCTATAACTTTTTTGTTCGTTTTTTAAATTTGTCAAAAAATATATCAAAACTTACAAATTTTTATTATTTTCATATGATACCAATATTACATATATAGAGTATAAAAAACTAAAATTTTAATTGTTAAAGTTTTCTTCGGCTCAATAAAACATGAAACACAAATTTTAAATTTGTGGAGCCTCCATAAATAAAAGAGATATTACCCAAAATGGGACTAAAAAAGTTTGAAAATTCCAAAATAGGACTTCCATGTTTTTATTCCCAAAATAGGACTAGTTACTGTCATGTTTTGGCAATACCAGACTTCAAACATGGCAGTATTTTCCAAATTTGACAGTAATTAGTCCTATTTTGGGAATAAAAACATGACAGTCCTATTTTGGAATTTTCAAACTTTTTTAGTCCCATTTCGGGAACTTTCCCTAAATAAAAGTATATTACAAGAACTCATCTTTATTTTTTGTAAAAACTGTGATGGAATATAATTCCAACGAAAAGAGCTTAATCAATCAAATATTCATTGATCGTGAGAAAGTAATAAGAGTCTTCTTCATGTCGAGAGAGACCCCTTTTACAAGATATGTACATGAGTATTTATAGGCTTTGGGAGTTGATATTTTGGGAGGAATCTAATACAATAAATGCTAATTAATGAACTATATTCTTGCTTGAAATAGAACTCCTTTCATGCCTTGGACGTTAAGCATTAATCATCTCCTTCTTGTTTCCAAATAGCAATGTCCGAGTAATAGCCTGCCACGTAAACCTTAGGAATATCCCGGCCTCACTAGAACTGAGCCCAGCCTCGAGGTCTGCTCCGGGTGATAGAAGGTGGCGACAACGTCATCACAAAGCTAAACAGCGAAGGTAAAGTTGTTCCTAAACCTAAAGCTGAATTAACTACTGATAATTATCAAAAACTCGAGCATAGTGCCCAAGCTCTTAAATACTTAATTTGTGGTCTTGGTCCTGCTGAACACAACCGTGTTCTAGGATGTAAGACTCAAAGCAAATGTGGGATTTGCTCGAGGTTACTCATGAAGGTACCTCATGTGTAAAACAATCTAAAATTGACATATTTATGCGTAATTACGAATTATTCGTAATGAAGCCTGGAGAGTCAATTAAAGATATGATTACACGTTTTACTAATATTATCAATGAGCTTTCAGCCCTTGGATAGGAAATTACTGTGGAAGATCAAGTGAGAAAAATCTTGAGAAGCTTGCCCTCGGTATGGAAGCCTAAGACCACAACTATTGAGAAAGCAAAGGACCTATCCACCATGTCTCTTAAAGACTTGACCGGTTCACTCATGATATATAAATTAGGACTTCAAGAAGAGCAAGACGCTGAGACTGTAAGGCGAGAGAGAGGAATTGCTCTAAAAGCTCGAGAAGAGGATGAAGAATCCGAAAGTGAATCGAAAGATGAGATGAGCATATTTGCTAGACAGTTTGGGAAGATGTACCGTCGGTTCAAAAACAATAGGAACAAACAAGGCAAAAATAACTTTCAATCTTTTCATAACCAAGGCTGTTTTGTTTGTGGTTCCTTCGAGCACAGGGCAAAGGACTGTCCACAAAAGATGAATGACCGAACCTATGACAAGAACAAGTCCAGTTCTAACTGGAGGTCCAGCAAAGACAAAGGGTTCAAAAGAGATCTCAAAAAGGCAATGATGGCAGCCTGGGGAGACTCATCTGATGACGAAGAAGAGGAGAGTGATATGAACTCTAACCATATGAGTTTATGTCTTATGGCACACTCTGACGAGGAATTTGATCATCATACATACGATTGATAATTCACACCAAAACAAACGCACCGGGAGTCTGGGACACATGCAAGGCCAACCAGATCGACGTCAATTAATAGGGAGGATTTGAAATGGATGAAACGGGGAACCTAAAACTTTCCTACCAGCGTATAAATATACTATTACCGAGGGAGAAGACTTCACCAGGAAACACAAACTGACATACATATATATACACACGCATATGCATACACGCAGACACGCAGTATATAAATACTACGTATTACGTTCACTTACATAGAAACTATTTATGGAGAGGAGAAAAACGTCGCCGGAGTACGGAAGGAGGTCCGCTGCACTTATTTCGCCGAAGAAGAAGAGTAACGAAGTCACCATCGTCGTACGAGAACGCGGAGTGAGTGCTACATTATAGACGCTGAACTACTTACTGTTGACGTCGGAAAGACCATGACCAAGTAACCAACGCCGGAGAGCCATAGCCAAGCCGCCGGACTGGTTCACGCCAGAGAAAGGGGAGAAGCCGGGGAAGTTGCTGCCGGACCAAACCGCTGCTGCAGTGTATCTACTCCAGAAGAAAAGGGCCGCTGAGGACAGAGACGTTGAGGAAACCGCCGTGGAGAGAACCGTCACTGCCTGTTGCCGTTATCTACTGCGTCGAGTTTCTGTAGACGTCGGCATGTACGTAAGTCTGCGTTCTATTCCGTATGTGTTAATAATAATAATTGGGCTAGTCAGAATAATAATTGTTGGACTAGTTATTATTTGGTAACTGGACACGGCTGATAACAATATTAATAATATAATAATAATAATAATAATAATAATAATAATAATAATAATAATAATAATAATAATAATGATAAATAAAATAGATTAAGTTGTTATAACCAGAAAATTATAATTGGACTAATTGATCTATAAATAAATAAATAAATTATTAATGCTAGAGTTTTAACATTTGACGTGCACTTTGTCGTGATGTGCACTCAAAATAATAATAATACAATACAACACTTATACGTAGTATAGCGTAGTGAGGTTCGTATCCGCAGGGAAAGGAATACTTCTCTTTTTATAACTAGTAATAAGGGGTTTTTTTTAGATTTGTTGCTGAAGAACTTTTTAGAATATTAAAACACAAAGATGAACGAGTTATGTGGTTTAATTAATGAGAAGAAGACTTGGTTTTGCTTTTATCCGATCCACTTAATGAAATGTTCGTCGATCCCGGTTATATCTTTAACTATATTCCTCTCGAATACTCAATCGAGGAGTATATCCAGTTCATCGAGGGAGGGTAGTTATTAATAACGAGATGCGTTCATTAATAAAACTTACTATCGAGTCAATATAGAACAAGCGCCGTATATTAACTTGATAGTAGCAATAAACTTAAGATGAAAACGATTGAGATTGATAACCTCAACACAGGCGGTTTATTGGTTTAATCAATATAATTAATTCCCCTTGGCTTATTAATCATGAGAAGCATGCATTAACGACCCAAGTTTACTACCATTGAAAGAACCGAATTAATAACAAGCGTATTAACCGATTGATTTTAGTAATAATTAATATATGAAACAAAACTAGTTGATCCTTTAAGTAATGTTCAAAATATTAATATGAAATATGAATAGAAATTAATTAATACTCAAGGAAGAATATTAAAGAAGATGAATCCTACTATAGTTAATATCAAGATGTTAACTAATTGTCATCTTAGTAACACTCCCCAATATTAACATAGAGGAAGAAATAGCTATTACTATAACTAATGTCAAGATGTTAACTAATTGTCATCTTAGTAACACTCCCCAACATTGATATAGAAATAGTATTTAAAGGAAGAATTAATATTTAAGGAAGAAGATTAAAGAGAATAACTCACAACTTACAAATTCATTAAGCTTCAAAGTAGCAAAACCAAGATGGAAGAGTTTAGCTCCTCATTTGGAGACTAAACATGCTATAAAAATATAAAAGAAATACTATTCTAAACTGAGCTTAGAAGTATATAGGAATTGGTGTTTTTTCTGAGAAGGAAATGGGGTGTATTTATAGGCTTTTTGGGCTTGCAGGGTCGTGTACCCGATCGAGTATATAAGGTACTCGATCGGGCCTTCAGTTGCTTCGCGGAAGCTGCAAAAACTGGGACATACCCGATCGGGTATGTCGGCCACCCGATCGGGTATAGACACTCGATCGTGGTCAAAATCTCCCCTGCATGTTGCCTTGTTCCCGAGTTGATCCGATTTGATTTTTCAGCGACTTACCCGATCGAGTATAGGGCATACTCGACCGGGTACAATACCAAAAATCAGAATCTTCATTTTTTTCTTGAATTTTTAGCACCTTCCCTCCACTTGTGATGTTCACCAATGGTCCCTAGAATGCTCTTGGACCTGTATGAGCTCAGAATAAACCTAATCTAAACAATTTACAACTTTTTTACAAACTAAACTATTACACCAAAAGTGTGTAATTTCCAAAGCAACAACCAATCAAAATTAATTAAAAATACAAACATAAGCATGGAAATTACACGAATGTCAACATTCTAGAAGGTGAGTTTGGAGAAGGTCAAGATAGAAGCTTCGGTTAGGATTTGACACAATTGAGGTAAGTACTATGTCAACCAAATTTCATGCTTTTCCCATATAAATTTATTTGTGACTAGTTATTTGAGATCATTTGAGTATATGATAGTTAATGAGATTTTACGTATCAATTGTGATTGTGAATTATATATATTTGAGATTTGAGTATTTTATATTGGATGATATTTTGAGCATTTGAATTTACATATGAATTGTTATTGGATTGAGATTTGAACTATTTATGAAGTATCCTATATTTTGGACTATTTATTGTATATTTGAGTATGATGAGTTGGAGTTAATAATTTCATTGTGAATAATTTTGTGGAATTCCGATTTCATATCCATTTTGATTGAGGTTATGATACTTGAACTTTGAGATTGAATTATGATTTTGTGAGTACCTGGAGAAATGTGGATTTGGTGAGTGGTGATGACTATAAGTCTAATTCCACCAGGGATCTCCCAAAAGCGGAGCATCCCGGCTTAATTGTAGTAGGAGAAAAATTCCGACTACTCGGACTTTTTACTACCCGGAGAGCTTGGAATCTCTTTCAGGGGGTGTGCACACTTAAGGTAGGAGTTCGGCTTTCATTGGTTTTGGTTGAGTTTGAATGATTGGATTATATTTGGATTTAATTGAACTTGGATTCCATTGGCCTTGAGGTGAATTGGTTTTGAGGTTTTGAGGTGAATTTCATTGGAATTGAGGTGATTTGGATTATTTGGTTGGACTTGATTGAGGTGAATTGAATTACATTATATTGGATTATTTGAGTGCGTTATATTTGTTTGGATTGGATCAAATTTGAGGTGGCTGAGATTATTAAATTATTTGTGGATTTCCAAAATAATACTTTTAGATTTGATTTGATATGATTATGTTGAATGTTGATTATGAGTATTTGAATGTATTTTGAGATGGATATTTGGAGTTTTACATATGATTTATATTTCGGAATATATTTACGAGAATTTTGGTGGGTTATGTATATTGACATTTTAGAATTTTTATGATTTGGAAATATGCACCTATATTTGGAATATTATTATTTTACATGTGATTTTGTGATGAGAAGTTTGTATAAAGTGTTTCAAGAGGTTTCCTCCCAAATGTTTTCACAAAATGATATATATGTATCAAACATGATTATTTTACAGGGTTGGGTGGGCCTTATTTAGCATTCAGCTAATTTTTGTTTCTTTGTGTTTTTCTTTCTGTACTTTATTTGTGAAGGAATTGAGGATCATGTTGAAGTTGATTTCGAGAGCTTCCGCTAGAACACAGACTAAAGTGATTGAGTAATTTATTTTAGTCTTAATTTTAAAGAATTGTAGTTGAACAATTAATTATGGAAAATTTTAATTTGTTGGTGGTGGATAGCATGTGCACTCGGTTATGTGAGAACCGAGTGTGGCGGTAACGCCCCTGTTTCCCTTTGAATTTTCCGCTGCAAGACTCTGATGTTTTCGAATAAATCATGATTCGAATGTATTTTTGGGTGGAAAATTTGGGGGTGTTACAAGCATGAAGTGAAATATTATGTGAAGTATATCACATATTTCGTTCTCAAACAATAAACAAGACATTCATTTTAGGACAAGACAAAAAGAAAAGTAAGTCAATCAAAACGGGAGGAAAGGGCAGCATTTTACGTGTGTGGAACCTGGAGTTCATATAAAAGTTACTCCGCATGATGTTTAATACTCTACTTGAGTAACATTTCAACCATGGTTACTAAAACCAATACACCACACTCAACTAAAAGGGGACAAATGCAAATTAAAATTTACAATGGAAGAGTGCATCATCAGTTCAATGTGATTTGACCTGCACATATATATAGTTAAAAATGTATGAGACAGAAGGGGAAGAATACCCATCTAAGACAGAAAAGTATTAAAATGTTTACCTGATCAAATGGCTAACCGTTCAACTTTTTACTATAATCTAGCACCATCAATATATTTAAAGGTTTTATTCTAAAATATTATGTAGTAAAAAATTATGAAAAAATGTGAATATATTTTTGTGACACTCCATAAATTTAATAAAATTTAATATTAACTAGGATGTGGTATTCATTTGTGGATAAAATTTTCTTTAGTTATGTTTCGGGACGAAACATCTTTTAAGGAGTGTAGAATGTGATACCCCGAAAAATTAAAATAAAATAAATAATTTATTAGTCAGATAAAATGTTACGAAATTGACAGTATAATAATTAAGTGAATCAGATAAAATATAGGTGACAGAATAAATAAGTAAATAAATAAAAATAATAGTAAGAATATTATAAATTACTAATAAAAGTATCAAAAGGATAAATGAAAATATGAGATCATAAAACAATCTCACATGCTAAGATCACCTACCAAATCATGTATATACATATATTTATGTACATATATTTAAATATATATATTTATATGTAAAACTCAAAATACATTTAAGTAATTAAAAATAATAATAATAAAATAAAATAAAATGAAACATCAATATAAATGGGAATCAAATCAGGGATCAATACACATGCCATGTTCATCAACTACCAACCTATCATTATGTATAGACATTATTATTTTTATTATTATTATTATTCATACAATTATCAAATAAATAAAATAAACCATAAGGACCATCTAGACCTATAAATACACCCTCTTAGCCATCCTAAACACTGCAAATCGGAGAGATAGAAGCTATATATACATATACATATATATACATAATCTCGCCGGAAAATTTATGCCTATAATGTTTTACGTATCAAACTTCGTAAAAACGATAGAGGAGGGTCGTGAGAGGTCTAGGAATACTTCCCAATAAATTCCAGACCGATTCGTAGTCACCGGAGCATCCTAGAGGTCGCCGGAGTTGCAAGCCATGGAAATGGGTCTTCAGCAAAAGCGGACAATTGGCCGTAGATAGGGGTGGAGGAGCTTCGTCTCGACGTGAGGATCATTTTGCAACTTGAATCGTCGAAATCTGTTACCTGTAAGTAAAGTTATCGCTCGCCAGAGTTTTCGGGATTCCGGTCGCCGGAATCGCGACCTGGAGAAGAGCTGGGAAGAAGACAACCCAGTCATCTTGGGCCGGGTCGCGTATTTGGGCCGGTTCGGCCCGTTTTCAATAAAAAATTAAAAATAAAATAGTAAATGAAATAAATAAAATCTAGAAAAATATAAATTAAATACCTGGTATAAAAATACATATTCGGACCAAGAATAATTGAAAAATAATATTTGTAGCTATTTTTAATTGATTTAATTGTAATTGGGCCAAGTTGTACACATTTAGTAAATAATTAACTAAATGACGAAAATAATTATGAAATAAATATGGGAGCAAGCTAGATTAAATATATGACTAACTAGGACATTTGGGACCATTTATAATTAATAAAAATTATAATTAGCATATTGAATTGTAATTAAACCGGTTAATAGATATATGAAATTAAGTAAATAAATAAAGGAAATAATTCTAAAATAAATATCTGGACAACCTAGGTCAAGTATAGACCCAAACTATAGTTATGGATGATTAGTAATTTATAAAAGTGATGATTAAGTTATTTAATTTAATTGAGCCATATAAACTAGTTAAGTAATTAAATAAGGAAATTTTGATATTAATGGTGAAATAAATAAATCACTAAGATTGAAAATAATGTTCTGGACTAAAAATGATGTTTGTAATAAAATAAGGAAAAGAAAATAAAGTTGGGTTATCTAGTATAAATGAATGACTATATTTGGACTTAATAAATAAATTATTGAATTAGTTGACTAATTAAATTAGCGTGATTAAATTAATAATTATTATCCTTGATTATTAGTGATTTGGACTCCATATAAATTATTAAACTATTTGAACTCATAAAAATTAGTTGATGAATATAAACAAATTAATTAAGTAATGTGTACTTAATAAGTTAGTTAATTGACTTCATTGGACTAGTTTAACTAAATCAATTAGTTTAATGGATAAATTAGTTAATTTATAGACTTGATAACATTTCTGAAATTTATATTAAAAATAGAAAATTAAAACGAGATTAGAATTTGATTATTGGACTTAATTGAATTAGATTAATGTATTTAGCTATATTGATATAATTAAACTTATTTATTTGATTTAGTTAGTTCAATTAAATTAGTGAATCAAATAAATAAAACTGGAGGATTGGATTAATTAATTTAGTTGGGTTAGTTAGTATAAATAAACTATTGAACTAATTAAATTTGTTATTGAGATTAGATTATCATTAATGATTATTATTTCGAATTATTGCTTACGTCAAATTATTATTAAAAGGTTTATTAAATAAATTATATAAATTATGTAAACTGAATTTTATACTGAAATTGTTTATTTAAATTCGAAAAAATGAAATTATTATGTAGTTAATATAATTAGACTAGTTAACTAATTAATCAAATAAATTAAAGTAAATTATGGAGGGATTAGTATGATTAAAGAAAATAAGGTTGGACTAAAAATTAACATTTTAAATAAGGTTTATGAATCTAACTTAATAGTTATATTTAAAGAAGGAATTATGAAATTAAAATAATTAAAGGTTGGATAGATAGGAGATAACAAAAATAATAGAGTAGTTATTGATTTAGAATTTTGATATATATTAGAAGGAGGATTCAAGTGAAGACCAAGCTAGAGACTTTATTAAAAGGATTATCGCAATTTAAGGTAAGTTCTATGTCAACCAAAATGTTTTGCCTCGTACTTATATGTATGCAATATTTGCACTATGTGAATTATTTATGAATTGGAAATTATATGTTTGACATGGATCGAATATTTTGACTATATGAATATTGGTGGATTATTACCTTTTATGGATGATTAAATGTATATTCTTTTTATTAAAGAATATTGGTGGATTTATATTTATTACAAAGGATATTTTGAGAAAATGTGACAATAATGATTTGGGGAAAACTTAAAGTTTTCATAATATATATTCTTACGTCTCGAGAGAAACACGAGGCGTGGGTGGTTAGGGCTACTACTACTTTTGGTGAAATTTATTTGGGTCGGTAACCAGTCCGGCAATGACATACTCCGGTAGACATCCCGGGCTTTTATTTGAGGATCAAAGATCCTTTGGTGGTCGTAGTAGTAGTTACCTAATTTACCCTTGGACAATGTCCCTTGTGAGTAGGTGGTAGAAAACATCCTGCCTACTTGGGTTTCTTACTACTCGGAGGGCTTGGAATCCCTTTTAGAGGGTGTGCACACTTAAGGTAGAAATTCAGCTTCCAATTGGTGGTCGGTGGGAGCCGGAATTCCGGGATGATTCGTAGATAACAACGACTCATTGGGCTCGAGGAATCTTGAGTTTCGCCCACTCTTAAAAGAATCTAAAGCATTACTTTTGGAGGAATTGAAGGATGATATTATCTATTGTGGAAATTATTTTATGACCTTAAACCATTTTGGAAATATGAGAGACTACTTTTCAATATATATACATATACAAAAACCTATTTTCCAAATTATATTATTTTACGGGTTCGGGTGGAATCTTACTTAGCTCTAAAGCTAATTTTTGTCTCTTTTCTCTTTTTCTCTTTGCTCTATTGTACAGATGATTATGATTATGAAGATTGATGTACTTGCTGCCCGAGTGTTCCGCTAGTTGCACACGTTTGATTAATTATTGTTGTTTAAATTTGTAACCCATAAACTTGTTTTAAGTTTTATCTGATGGCTACTTGAATTAATGGTGGATAGCCTGTGCACTCAATCATGTATAGGTTGAGTGTGGCGGTGACACACCTGTTTTTCCATTAAAGACTTCCGCTGTACTCTAAATATGTTTTATAATAAAGATGTTTTCATTTCAAAATGTTATTTTATTTTGGTGGGAAAAATGGGGGTGTTACAATTTTATTGTGTGTAAGTTTTATATTCACTTTAGGGTCACATGTTTTACCATTACTTTTATTTTAGTTATATATTTGAAATTATTTCATATATTTATCTAAAAAAAAATTCTTAATAAACCCTTCCTTCTTAATTAACTTTGTTGTCAATTTATACCTATTTTTGGAAAAAATAGCTGAAAGATGTAAACTTAATTTTTACAAAGAGTTTTTAATTTTAATGCTTGGATATACTTGATAAACAATTTGATCATAAAAGTCTCTAGCAAATGAAACTTCATGTGTTTATTTTTTAAACCTTATATATGCAATATTAAAGATCATAAAAATGTATGGATCTATATGGCAAGTCTCCTAAATATCAATCCATATTTGGTAGTAACTATTACAGATGTTTTTAATTGCACTAAAATTTTCTGTCTGGTTTATTTAAATATTGTCTCGTCTGATTTGATAAATGTCTCCATTAGTTTGATCATATCATTTTTGTATTAAACTGCAATTATGCCATGCACACAAATATGCCTAAGTTTGCCTAAATTAAATCACTCGAGAAAACAGATTTTTTGGGTAAAACTGACTAGAGGTTTAGGCCCTAGTTAACTATCTGGCCGGTGCTAGGGGCATTTAGGGATGTGATGTCATCCTTTTAAGAACAAGTATAGGCTAGAGAAAGATACATCGAATCCCAAAATTGGCCACATAAGAAATGACATAGTGACACAAGCAGAAAGCTTAGGGTCTGTTTTAATATCGTTTTACAAAATCATGTTTTCAATTTTCAATTCTCCATTTTCAAATCAGAAAACATGTTCATCAATTTTTTTCATCCGATTATGGGATTGAGCGGAAAACCGTAAGCACGGTCCTGTTCCAGATTGGACCTGGTACAACCCAAATAGGGTGCCTGATTCCGGGTATGGGAAAGTTGGGATCGAAACCAGCCGATCCCAATCGGTCCGAGCGGCTAGTTTGACTAATTCATTTCCTTTTCTCTATTAGTTAGCAACCCAACGTCTCTTTTTTAAAAAGTGGGGACCACGCGGACTGAGATAGGGAAAACCGGGTCATCAATTTGACCGGACCGAGACCGCTCAATGTTGACCGCACGGACAAGGACCATTAGATCGTCAACCGGACAAGACCGGGACCGCCCTCATATTCTCACTTTTCCATTTGCTTTTTCTTTCTTCATTCTTTTCAGGTTCTCTTTCTCTTTCTTTAGTTGGGCGGCGGACAATGGTGGTTGGGAAGGGGTCGCTGACGAGCAGGGTGCAACGAATGATATGGGAGACGGGAAGCGCGCGGAAGCATGGAGATGGTTGGTGGACAACCAGAGGCAGGAGACGGCCGTTGAGATCGAGGATGTTTTGGGCGAAGGTCGGTAACTACGGGGTAATTTATGGCCGTGGGCGATCAGTGGTGCGAGCGCCGGCGGGGGTTGGGGAAGTCGTGGTCGCCGGCAATTGAGACTTGAGAGAGTTGTGGTTACAGAGGGATGCTCTAATTTGCTAGAAAAAAAGAAAGAAATGCGCAAGAGAAAAGAACGAAGATGACAGGGAAGAAGAAATGGTCAGCGAGGAAGAGTGAAAAAGTAGAAAGGAATTAAAAAAGGAAAAAGAAAATCCAGATGGATATCTTCCGGTTGACCGGATCTCAACCGGTCAAAAGGGTAATTTGACTATTTTTTAATACTTCGGGGACTTGATTGATTCAATAAAAAGTACGAGAACCTAATTGACTTCTTCGTAATAGTACGAGGACTTATTTGACTGTTTTCCCTAACTCCATACTACGTAGTCAATAAATCAAATCAGAATAAATGAAAGATACGAACCGCAATTAGGGCATATGTGATTTGCAGCTGGAGCTCCACACTTGTAGCAGAAGGCACATCCACACCTATTATTACAAAAATAACATAATATATAATAAATTAATAATAATAATAATAATAATATAATATAATTAGCAAGAAAAATAACACATAAAACATTCAAACTCCATGGCTCGAAAGGGAGAACATATGTGCAAGAAGCATTTATTTTGTATCACCAAATATGGTTACAAACACAATGCCATCCGGAGAAAACATAAATCGATTTTCAATTTGAGATATATGATAGAGATTTAATTTGTTGAGTTCCCTCCTAAATTATAAAGTTTATGAGAATTCTAGAATTTTGTGGAGATGTCTAGAATTTTTTATATGAGTGTAAATAAGTGTTAAATGTTCTAGAATGTCCTGGAACCTTCTAGAGAAGAGTGAAATAATCTAGAAGCATGTGAAAGAATGTAGAATATATTCTAGAACATTGTGTAGCTTTCTAGAGAAGTGTGAAATTCTCTAGGATTGTGCGTAAGTGTGTGGAAGCCTTTAGAACATTCTGAAGTAGTGTGGAGTTCTCTAGATTATTCTAGAAGATTAGAGAAGCTTGTGGATACTTCTTAGAAGGCTCAATATTTTTAATGATGCATAGAAAGTTCTAGAGAAGCTTTGAGGAGATTGATATAAATAGGGATGAGACTACTCATTCCTACGTGAGAGCTTTGTGAGGGCCTCCTTGAGTGTTGAGTGAGAGCCTTGTGAGAGTCTCCTTGATCCAAAAAAGGTGGAATCTCCCACCCTCGGAGCCCCGCACGCCCCGACCTGACAAGGCACATAAGAAGATGTAAATCACGGTGACTCTGTCAGCAGAGTGACAGTAGGCACATATACTTGTGTGCGCCAGAAGTCCAGCCCATTTTAGAGGCTGTAACCTCCATCTGGTCAGTGCGAGATTCCAACCTTGGTCCCTTTATCCAAATTTCCCACCACTCAACCAACTGAGCTGCCCGTACGGGTATTGTGAGAGTCTCCTTGGGTGATGAAGGAGAGAGAGCCAAGTGAGAGTGTAATATTGGACTTTGCACCCCATTTCCCAAAAAAATTGATTTTGCACCCCATTCCATTTAAAAATCCTTTGACTTTACACCCCATTCAAAATCTTTTCTTCACAAAGTGGTATGTATTGGGGTGCAAAATCAAAGTTTTTTCAAAATGGGGTGCAAAGTCCAATATCACCCAAAAAGTGGGATGCAAAGTCAAACCCCCCATAAATAAATTATTTATCTCCTTATTTGAAAAAGGTCTATTTGATAAGTGGACCAAGCTTTAACTAAAATGATGGGTTGCCAATGCAAAAATAGTGAAATAAATTGAACAAGATATTTAATTAATTGAGAAAGAGAAAAGCCATTTGAGTGGTTGCCAATGCTCATATGCCCACAAATTCTCTTTTAGTTTGGCAGAGGGTGCACCGAAGGTTGGACCTTGTCTTGGACCTTGGTTCATTTTTTCAATTGTCAACTCATCTAAACTAAAGGAGTGTTTGCAGGGGCGGGGAGTCAGAGCACTGGGCCGGGCTGAGCCGGTACAAAGAATATTTTTAGGAAAAATTTTACACGAAATTTTTTACCTTAAAAATTAAGCCATTTTTAAAATTTGGGGTGGACCATGGCCTAGGTTGGCCCACCCCTAGCTCCGCCCATGAGTGTTTGCAGTTGCTTAAAAAAAGCGTTTTTCAGCTTTTGACTTAAAAAAAGCTGAAAAGAGTGTTTTCAAATGACAGCTTCTACTTAAGTTAATTACTTAAAAGCTAAAAGCTGGAAGCAGGTGGAAGAGTGTTTTAAACTGTTTTTCACTTTTCTATTACACAAAAAGTACTTATTTTACCGAACACTACCAATTTTTACTTTTTCGGAATCAATTTTTTCTCAATCACTACCAACTTTTACTATTAAGTATTTTCTCCAAAATAACTTTAAAAATCGTTTTTTTAAAGTAGAATCAATTGCAAACGCTCCCTAAGTCTATACTAGTATTATTTTGCAATGGAGATGACACTTTCATTTTAAAGGAAAGCATTTGATGAGGTGGAACTAATTAAAATGGACCTCTCCATTGGAGATGTCCTTAGAGACCTCCCAGCTCCTGTTCATCAAGGACTACTCGGCCCTCCTCTATTCAAAAAGAATTCCCGTTAGTGGCTCGATCATGTCGATCCCACACCCTTTCATCAATTAAGAGTCATGTATTCCAAAACTCCCTAATTAGTAACTCTGCCCTATCCCTATTAAATACGGAGTATGATCTTCTAACCAAACGACCTCATTGAAGTCTACATAGTCACTAACTTCAATCAGTCCGTCCCTAGCTAATTTAACAAGTTTCCCCCAACCGAAAGGATTTCAAACTTAGCCACCGGTTAAATTAAATAAAACTAGTTTGAGTGCTTTTACTTAGATTGCTTTCTGTCTCAAACCAAAAACAAATAAAATCAAACTCAAATAGATATATCAATAAATTTCAGTCCCCTCATACTTTAAAAGAAAAATCTCAATCAGCAAATACTCCCTTCGATTCAAAATTAAGTTCCAGTTCCGTTTACGATGCTTGACTGACGATAAACAACTTGATCCCTGTTCACACTTGGATTATTTTTAGTAAATAAAATTTACATATTAAGAAACTACATTAAAACCGCTACAAAACCTGATCAAGAAAATTTCAATTTAATAAAAATTTGATATATATAATAAAAGATTAGGAGTGACTTAAGTTGACCAATGAATAGTGAAGTGGAATTTGTTTTTGAATCGGAGGGAGTAATAATAAAATGTACTCCGTATATTATACCACCACGGATGAATTTAAGGTGACAACTCCGGTACCCTTTTAAAAAAATTGAGTACCGTACCTATCATTCATTTGATTGGACCACATCACTTTATCATTTTGAATTTAGATTTAAATAATTCAACTGCAACATTCTCATTGGTCCATGTGGACGAAGGTATGGTACCTTATGGGTACCATAGAATCTACCTAAATTTAAAGTTTTAAACACATGATTATTTCATTTAAACACAGGATACCAGAATTAGTCAAATCAAATCAGTTCAACCATATAAGATTTGAACATTTGAGGATCATTAACCTAAGGATGTTTTCATTAACTAAGGATTTCATTAATGATCATTAAACTAAGAATGTTTTCTTTCGGATTGAAATTTGCTGGTCTGGTATGGTCTGATATGAACTGATTTGATCTGATAAATGTATAGTCTTTGTATATTTTATAACTATGGAAGTCTGGTCTGGTCTTGTCTGACTTGGTTCGGTCTTGTCTGATCTGATCTGGGACCGAAAATTGACCAAAATAAAATACATAGAGACCAAACATTTACCGGAACAGATTAGACCAGACCAATTCAGACGAGACCAATATCGAATTGTTGGAACAATTCAGAATTACGTCTTGGAATGAGAGTAGCGTAACAAAAAATATTCCCTCCCTCCTTTTAAACTTTGTCAACTTTTCTTTTTTGGATGTCCCACTTTCCCTATTGCTGCTTTCCCTTTCTAAGTAAAAATTTGTGGTCCCATAATGCTCTCTCTTCCGCGCAGTTTTTACTTTATTAATTCCTGTGCCGGTCAAATTTGGCAAAGTTTTAAGGGAGGGAGGGAGGTAGGAGTTGTGGCGTATGTACTAACCTGCAAGACAAGAAATCACATCCGGAAATTCTGTCAACAAAGATCCTGCAACTAGGGCACCTCTTCCAGTCCTTCCCCCGCGCAAACTTCATCAACTCTAGATCTTCCCCTTGCCTCTCAGTGTCGTTCAAGCTCTGGAAGTCCTGGCAAGATATGTCAGAATGCCATGGAACCCTACACCTGGCGCAGAACAGCCTCCTGCACTCCGGACACTCCGACTCTTGGATCTCCGCCTTCTCGTCATCCTCCAAGAGGGCCGAGCAATCCCTGAACGGGCAGTAGAACTTGTCTGACGCCTCGATCACCGCCTCGCACAGCGCATCTCCCCACCGATCGAACACCGCCTTGGGCAGAAGCGGGCGGCACTGGAGAGGGTCGAGGCAGCCCTGGCATCCAGGAACAGGGCACCGGATGTGCGAGATGTTGTCCTGCAGCTTCGCATCGACGTACATGCACACGCAATCGGAGCAGTAGGAATGGGTGCAGCCCTGGAGTTTTAGCTGCTGCCGGCTTCTGCTCTTCTCGTCGTAACAAATTCCACAGGTGAATCGGTCGCCGTCCTGGTTTGACGAGTGAGCCATGATGGCTACCCGCCCGCCGGACAATGTGATTGATCGATGTACGTATAGTATAGGTCTTTCAATTCGAAATTAAAGAGCCATGCATGATGGCTATACCAAGTATAATGCTTGCTCGGAATCGAAATTACTCCGTATTTAGCTACTGATAACTCGTATAATGAGTGATAATGAGTTTATGGGCGGCCGGCCCTTGGGGTTTTATATGGCGGCTGTTCATATGTCCCCTCCTCTGATATGAATACTCCGTATTATTTGCATTTCTAAGACTCTTCGAAGTACACGTCACATGCAGTAAACTACTGGGCAGCACAAGATTTATGTATAGGCTAGGTGGGCTGAAGCCCAAAAAATCAATTCTTTTAACGTAAATTTTTAATTTTTTCATATTTAGCTCATCCAACTAATTTCGAAGCCTAGTATATTTACTTTTCAGTTAGGGCATCCCCAAATTCTGGATCCGCCCCCGCTAATGGGCTAGTGCAAATGTTTTCAATATTTCACTCTTGTTATTCGTTTCTCACTTTCCCCGTGGGGCAGTGCAAATGTTTTAGGCAGGTAAGGCAGGTCCCAGTGGGCCACTTTATATCCTTCCCTCCAATTAAATTTATTGAAGATTTATAATTAATTGATCCGATCAGTTACAGTTATATGTCCAAGTAGTTATAGTTATGCGTCTGACCAATAGCAATTATTCGTCGTCAGTTACAATTACCCGCCCGACCAATTATAGTTACGTGTTGTCAGTTATATGACTCGTCAGTTACGATTATCTGATTCGCCAGTTACAGTTACATGACCCGCCAGTTACAATCGATTTGCTAGTTACAATTACATGACCCGCCAGTTACAGTTGCATGACCCGCCCGTACAATTACCCGATTCGCCAGTTACAGTTACATGACCCACTGGTTACAATTACTCGATTCGCCAGTTACAGTTACATGACCAAAGTGACCAAAATTATACAGTGGCCAAAATGACCAAAATTATATAGTGACCAAAATGACCAAAATTATACATACATTCACTTTAAGTGTTTCCATTATTTTCGAAACATCACACTTAAGCCTTTGTACCTTAAAAAGTATCACATACATACATTCACTTTTAACAAACGATCATATGGGTTGAGATGACCTACAAATGACCTGATATTACCGGTTATAAGCCTGTATGGAAGTATTCTCAGCCCAATACTAGAAATATTTGTCATGTCATCCCTGTTTAATGGTTTTAAATGAGATGTGTGATGGTTCTATCGTAGAAGCTTACATGAGGGTTCTTCTTCTCCTTCTCCTTCTCCTTCTCATTCTCCTTCTCCTTCTCCTTCTCCTTCTCCTTCTCCTTCTTCTTCTTCATCTTCCTCCTCCTCCTCCTCCTTCACGTGAATCATCAATAGTACGTGAAGATTGAGTGAAGATGTCATCGGCTTCATTTACTTCGACATCACAAGTTACCTACTCTTGCTTATGAACCTAGTCTCTACTCTTGCTTATGAACCAGTTGTGTATTGTAAATGCGAATTGAAGTCTCCTTTCTGTGTGGCAAGAGAAAGTGGTCGGAGGTTTTTCGGTTGCCAGAGATGGGAGGTGAGTGAATCTGAATTGATAAATTACTTTTTAGATTTTAATAAATTATATGGGAGATTCAAGGACTATGCAAGGTCATATTTGGTTTCAGAACTATTTCGAAAGATTTCAATGAGTTTATTGGAAAGTATTATGTATTGCTAAAGAGGCTATCCGAGCACAAGTTCTATTGCTTTTATATGGTTACTCCGGGTATTTCCAAATACCAATAGCCCCGGAAGACCAAGAGAATATCACCTTCACATGCCCATTCGGCACCTTTGCCTACCGTCGAATGATATGCCATTTGGATTATGCAACGCACCAGACACTTTTCAAAGGTGCATGATGAGCATCTTTTCCGAATTTGTGGAGATGTTCATGCATGGAGGTCTTTGTGGATGATTTCACAATCCAGGGGGACTCATTTGACACTTGCCTCTACCATCATCACCTTTGTACTCAAAGGTTGTATTGAATCCAACCTTGTTCTAAATTTTGAAAAATGTCACTTCATGGTAGAACAAGAGATTGTTTTTGGGCATGTGATCTCATCAAAGGGAACTGAAGTGGATAAAGCTAAAATTGATGTGATTCAAACACTCCCGTATCCCACAAATGTACGGGATATCGGTATCCCACTCTTTCCTCAGTCATGCCAGTTTCTGTTGAAGATTCATCAAAGACTTCTCAAAAATTTCATCTCCTCTATTCAAACTTTTGCAAAAGGAGGTGGAGTTTGATCTCAATGATGAATGCAAGGAAGCTTTTGATACGTTGAAAGCAAGATTGGTGACAGTCCCACTTATAAAAGCTCCCGATTGGTCTCTTCCTTTTGAGATTATGTGTGACACAAACGACTATGCGGTGGGGGCTATTCTAGGCCAAATGATCGGAGAGAGAGGAGAAGAAGGCCCAACGTCCATATGGTTGTTTGAGTGGGATCGATCGATAAATGTTGGGAAAAATTCACATGAATAATCCCAACTATTAACGTTCTTCCATAATTAATCCCAAATATTTATTATTCCAAAATAATCCAATTTACAGATAACATCTTCTCAAAATAGTCCTCTCACCGGATAACAAACTATTAATAGGTTACCTAGACACGTGTCTCACTATGATTGGATTTTAGATATTTTAATTTCCACTTTTCCCTTTTCTTTTCTTTTCCTTTCTTTTTCTCTTTCTTTGCTTGTCTTCTCTCCTGTATGTCCCTCTTCTTCTTCCCCGAGCATCGTTCCATCTGCTCTGTTCTTCATATCCTTCTTCTTCTTAATTTCTTCGCATCTTTCTCTATTTCTAATCCCTTCTCAGCTTCTTCTTTATTTCGAATTTCTATCCATATTCTCGTCCGTCGTCCTCCTCCCTTAGTCCCTCCCCTTCTCTAAAAGTTATGTAGAAATTCTAGGACTCAAAGGAGCGTTGGTGAAACTTTTTGACAAATTTGGTCAGCTTTGCCTCCATCCCATCATCTTCGTTTCCCCTCTCCTTCCATTTTCTTGTGCGTGTAAAATTCTTCAAAGAAATCGTTAGGTGTGATTGGGGTGTCCAAGGATTTCCGGCGGCATAATGAAGAAGTTGGTCCACGAGCAGCGTATCAACCTGATTAGACAAAATTGTATGGTTGCTATTCTTCCGTATCAACCTTCGTCATCATCCTTCATCCAAAGGCTTGGAACAGTAAAAGTTTCATTTTTTTTTTAATTTGGGAAGAACTTTGACCGGCAATGGGAGATCCATACTCGAGTACTGTTATTTTTTCATTTTCTTTTCTTGTTTACCGGTTTAGCCGGTCATGGGTAAGGGAGATCAATTTGAGAAGATCTCATGTTAACTTGAGAGTGTTATAGAATTATGCATATTTGGGATCAATTATGAAAGAATGGTAATAGTTGGGATTATTCATATGAATTTTTTCTAAATGTTGCTAATGCTAATAAGTAATTGTCCTTGATAGGACTAAAACATACCATGTTTCCCAAAATAGGAGTTAACTCCTAATCTTCCCCAAATAAGAGTTAACTCCTAATCTTCCCCAAATAGGAGTCCACGTTAACTTTTTTTACCCCAAATACCACTATTCCAATTAATTAATTGTACCCCCTAGTTCCCTTGGGCAACCGGGGCGGGGCGTTGGTGGTGGGGCATTCCAGTGGCGGCGGTGGAGCTCCAGCGACTACGACGGTGGCAGGAAGATCGGGGAAAAATATGGAATTGAATTTTTTACCTCGCCAGAGCTCCGGCGGCCGGCGGCCGGCGGCATTCCAACGAACTCCGGCTGCCGGCGGTACTGTAGCAGCGGGCAGTAGCAATGGCAGAGACATCCTTGTCCATTTAAAAGAAAATACTCCAATTTGGGGAATTTTAAACCACTACTCCTATTTTTAAACAACTCCTACTCCATCTGTCCCGAAATGATGGTCCTGTATTTTCTTTTTGGGATGTTCCAAAATGATGGTCTTGTTTCGCTTTTTGGTAAATAACTAAAAGTGGATTATCTTTTTAATGAACAGTGAAAGTAAAAGGATGAACAATACAATAAAGTAAGGTTCTTTAATCTTTATACCACATTTTCTTAATCTTTGTGCCCAAAAGAAACAAGACTATCAAATTGAGACGAAGGGAGTATGATTTACTCCTCTTTTGGGAATGATCTCAATGCTAATTAATGTCATACGTAGAGTTATGAGTTATATGAACGAGATGCCAAACTTTTTTGACGAAAGTGTTTAATTAAACGTTGTAAATCAAGTACTACTCGTATACTATATATACGTAATTAGAGGGAGAGAGGTGCAGTGATACATTTACATTAACGTTAAAAGGACTAGGCCGGCCAGGCGGCCGGGCTCTGATCTGATGCGTAGAAAAGAAAGTAGCTAGAAAGGTGTGAAGGGAGGGAAACATAACTGGCCGGCCGGACTACAAATAATAGGAAGTACTTATACAGTTATACATATATCAAAACATGCTGCTAATTAATGCTGGTACGATCGAGTTGGATGAAACACAAGCAACTAATATATGGTCGGAGGAGGCCGGCGATCAATTAGCGTGGACAGACCAGAGCCCTGCCTGCCGCAGCTGCTTAATTGATCGAGCTTGAAGGAAGCTAGAAAAACTAGCTATCTGCGGCTGGAACCTTTGCTCCTGAGAAAAGAGGCACTTTTGGTGATCTCACGCAGGGGTTTATCTGTGAATCGAATGACATTGTACACCCAAGCCCCCGATATGGCCCCTGCGGTTGGCCCCACCAAGTATATCCAAATCCCCTTGTACTGCTGCCACACTATTGCTGGCCCCAAGCTCCTTGCTGGGTTCATTGATGCCCCTGTTATCGGTCTGCAGTGTATAACACACCATTTTGTATCAAGAATTACAATTAACAAAACCACTTTTTTGTAATAATCACACAGTATTGACAAAAAAGTCCGTTCGAATTTTCAATAATGATCCCACGCATATCCTAATTAACGATTGAATGAAATAAAATGTTGTGATTAAAAGTTCTCATTTTTCAGAGTTCTCATTTTATGATCGGTTTCTTACTAGAATCCTCTCATATATATTAATGTTATATGCGCGTGCGCGCACACACATAAAAATTATCATGAAAATTGTAAACCATCACTTTCCCCCATTATGATGCACTTTAAGGCTAATCTGTTTCTCTTTTTTAAATTTGGTTGAGTCGTACCAAATAAAAAAAATGCAGCGCCATTTTGATAAATAAGTCGAAGTTTTCTGCCAATGCAAAAAAGTGCAACATATAAACCTTACATTGTACATGGTATCACATTGGAGAAAAGTAAACAATTCGCAATTTTCACGGGGAAAATGATTTTTATGTGATCCAAGCCCATATATAAAATTGATTAGTGGATTTTCGGAATACACACACACACACACACACACACATTTATATATATAGTCCCGTTCTTGTCCAGCCGGCCTGACGGGAACCGCCGTCCGGCCGAGGGAATTTCGGGTACTTCCCGATCGAATTTTTTGATGAAATTTTTTTAGCATGTTCTTCATCAAGTCTAGTTTATCCATACCAAATTTCAGCTCAAAATTCGATCGGGAAGGCATTCAAATAATTTTTTGAAGTTGACTGCGTCAAAATATACATATAAAAACGCAGTCAACTTCAAAAAATGATTTGAATGCCTTCCCGATCGAATTTTGAGCTGAAATTTGGTATGGATAAACTAGGCTTGATGAAGAACATGATAAAAAAATTTCATCAAAAAATTCGATCGGGGAGTGCCCGAAATGTCCTCGACCGGATGGACATGAAGTTTTCTCTATATACATATAGTTTTCCATGTTTGACACAGTCAAATGTCCAATGTCAATTCAAAAAGGCAAAAATGATTATTAGACCGTTTACCAAATACCTCCAAAATCCACATATATGTCATTGCACAAAAACATTTTACCTTAAAGTTTGAATAACACGACTAAATTTGAAAGGTCTATGCAATAGACATATCTTTTCATTCCTAGATGGAGATTATTTTGCGATCAAGAAGACTTGGCTAAAAGCATAATTAATTAATTTGGAACCATGCCAAGGCAATAGGAAGGAATTGGAGGTTTTCTTTCAAACCTATTAACGTGACTGTCCTTTCTAAAAAAGAGTGCATTACTGTTTACGGAGTTTGGTTTATCACAAAAAAACATATACTCCCTCTCTCTCCCAAAATTCTTCCCAGTTTGACTTGGCACGAAGATTAAGAAAGTGAAATAAAGTGAAAATGTGTGGTTGTGGTTGTGTAAGAAAAAAGTGAAATGAATGTGAACCACACAAATTGTCCAAAAAAGGTAAGTGGGAAGAATTTTGTGGGACGGCCCAAAAAGGCAAATGAGAAGAATTTTACGGGACGGAGGGAGTATTTAAATAGTCGATCTGTTAAGATCTGGGGTCCATGCTAAAAGGTCAACCTGATAGGAGGAGTAGCCCAAAGTCTTATATAGTGTTTAATTGTTTTATAGCTTTCCGGTGTGGGACAAATGCTTTAACACGCCCCCTCAGCCCAGTTCGGGCTGAACAATATCGGGGTGTATAATCGGGCAAACAAACCCTTAACAAGCTACCCTAGTTAGCTTTTTTCCGTTTAAAACGCGTTTTAAACGCGTACCGTTTTTTTGAACAAAAAAACGCGTTTAAAACGAAAAATAATGTCGGTCCGTTTAAAAAGGAAAAAAACTCCTACTTCCCGTATAAAACATATTTTTTCCGTACTTTAAAAAAAATAGAAACATGAACTGATCAATTGAATTAGTGCATTAAATGCATAAGAGATCAACAATAGCTTAAAAGCAAAAAGGAAAACTCCTCCTCGTGACCCCATGTTTTTGTATTGTTACAATGCAATTATTAATCACTAAAATTATTTGCATGGTGGCTAAAGCTAGCTTCCCAAAAGACCAAAAGTTGAAATATTATTGGAATTATGATGTTTTCCAATCAATCATATCAAAATTAAGGATTTTCTAAACCTGACATATTTTTAGTATAAACTTTTACACATAAACAATAATAAGCATAGCAGACGCACAACGTACTTTTATATCATATGTCATTCATCATCTTGAAGAAAATCGATCATGAGTTTGACTTGAGTGTTATTTGACGATTATATAAAGACAATGATTTTAACTTAGTCTCATTCTATTGTTATTATTCCTCATTCTTTTGACTTTATTTTGCAAAATTATGTCTTGAATTTAATTAGTATTTTAATTTTTTGATCAACTTATGAAATTACAAATTATTCTTTTATGTGGTAATGAGATTTGCTACTTGAATATGTGTATACTTTTATTTTTTTTACTATATATCTTATTTTGTGAAGTATATACTATAAATGTTCAAAATAATACCCCGTATTTTTTGTCCGAATTTTTGTAACATATACCGTATTATACACGTATACGTATTCACACGTTTTTTAAAAGCCAACGTATTTTTCAACGAATTTTTGACCGTCTTTTTCATTCTTGTTGCCGAATAAAACACGTACGTATTAAACCTCGTTTAATTCCCGTACCGTATTTAACTAACTATGCAAGCTACCTTAACACGCCCCTCAGCCCGAACCGTGCTAGACAAGATCAGGGTGTATAAATGGGCCAAACATACCCTTAACAAGCTACCCGTAATCATGGGTGCTAAACAAGCAGTCAAACCACAACTGGAATTGGCTCTGATACCGTGTTTAGATCTGGGGTTCTATCCTAAAAGATCAACCTGATAGGAGGAGTAACCCGAAGTCTTATATAGTGTTTAACTGTTTTATAGTTTTCCGGTGTGAGACAAATGCTTTAATCGTTCTTATTTTCTTATGATGAGTTGATTTTCATGTTTGTCGAATCACAGTGGTTATAATTAATATATTTAATTTAATTAATACATTATCAGTATAATGGAAAAAATCATATTTCGAAATCCACAGTCAGGACAAATTTAATACGGAGTATATTTAATAATATGATTTCTAAATTCGTTGTTGAATAAAATGTAAACAAATATAATATACATGTGAATGGTGAAAAGGTTTAATTGCTGAATCTAATAAAGACACATAATTCAGAGCATGTTTGTTAGTTATCCAAATATAAATTTAATTAAAGGTAATTACTTTCCTTAGAAAATGATTATTGTATCCCTACCCTTGAAGCATCTTTCTTGACTCGATGAATATGATCAAAATATCCCCAATTAAGTCAAAGGAGTATGATCAAAATTTCCCCAAGTCAAAGTTGACACAAAACGTGGACTTTACTTTCCCTTTTATTAAAATGACTGGAAAGTACATACCCCATTACCCGAATTGCAAACTTGCTCAAAAAGAAAATGATACACACACAATACACATACAGTATAGGGGCAGATCTGATACAACTGTATTCATATAAACGTTTGTGCGATGCATTTTTACACTATTTGTATTGCATCATATTGATGTTCAAAGTGTTGCATATTATTCCACAATGCATTAACAGTTGCATATTAACGTTCTAAAAGTTACATCTGATTTGTTTTTTTTGGTATTATTATCAAAATGCTATCATATGATTCCAGCCCCTTTAAATTAATTCACCAGATGGCCAATATTAGTTTGTAAGTGAGGACTTTCAGAAACAATAGTAAGCTTTTAAAATATGAGTGAAAAAGTCTTCCTTTGACAAGAAAAGATACAATAAACTCCACTTTAAGAATTCTTTTTCTCTATTCAATTAGAAATATAATGAACTGACTAAAGAATATGTTTTTTTATGGAGTACTTGGGAAAAAAATTCTATATTCAATTACCTGAAGCCACTAGTGTAACGGGATATATAAGGATAAAGATGAGTTTAGAATGATACTTTCGTATTGGAAACATAGACTTGCTAAAATGGTCTAGAGAAAATTATCTAAATAAAACTAAAAAATGGATTAAATTCATAATTAAACAGGACTCAATATTTTATTTTCAAAATAAGACTTATTCACTAGCTCCTATTTTGGAAATTTGAATCATATTTTTTAGGAAAAATTGATAGTAATAATCCCAACTATTGGCGGTCCGCTCATAATAATCCCAACTATCGATTATTTCAGAATAATCCCAACTATAGGGACCTTCCGCCAATAATGGTCCCTATAAATAAATTCTTGTGATTTTTAAAGTGGATGAAAAGAGATATAACAAGTAATCCCTATAAATAATCCCAACTTTTAATTTTTATGCTTAATTTCTATTTAAAAATCACTTGTTATAGGGGGTAATATATGGCCATGGACCATTATTGGCGGACGGTCCATATAGTTGGGATTATACAAAAATAATCAATAGTTGGGATTATTGTCAGCGGATCGGCAATAGTTGGGATTATTATTTACAATTTTATATGATTAAATAATAAGTTCTATTTAGGGAATAAAATACACAATTTCATTTTTGAATTTTGAGTACATTTTAGTTCTATATTGAACAATTTATATAATGTTTTTAGAATGAGTTGGTATACAGAATACATATTTTTTGTCTGGAATTATTCACAACAATTATGTACATAAAAGATGAATTCTTTACCCCTAGTTAGCCGTAGGTATGACCGTATGACATAAGTAAGAAGTTTCGGGAGCACAACAAATACATACCCAGCAAACATGACATTAAGTAAGATGGTAGCTCCGATTGCAAGGCCAGCAAGTTCTCCAATCTGTAACCCGAATTAAATTTGTAAAATTGGAATACATGCGTATAGTTTCAAGGATTATTATTACAAAAAATAGATAAATGTTCAACTTTATGTCCCGAATCGAGTACTGCACAAAATAGTACGGAGTACCTCCGTTCCAAAATAATTATCTGATATTTAAAATTTTCACTAATTATATATTTTATTGAAAATTATTTTTAGTATAACAATGATATCAAAATATTCATTGTTAAAAGTACATAAAATTTATAATTTCCATAATATTACTCCGTATATTACACTAATCAAAATTAAAGTCCAAATATTAGGAGTTGGCTAAGTGAGAAGTTGTGTTAGAGACTTGTTATTGTTGTATAATGATTAATAATGATATGGAATGAATATTATATTATTGTTTGGCTGGTATATATTAATTGTAATCCGCCCAATTCAATTGGCTAGCTAGATAAATTAAAGGAGTGTGGATGTATAGAGTAACTAACGTACAGCTCGATTATCGGTGGCGACGCCGGAAATGACGAACATGAGATAGAATGTGATGATGAACTCAATGACTAGGGATTGCAGATCGGACCCCGTCGGAAGTGTGCCGGCGAAATGGTCATGTTTTCCGTTGAATAACAACCGCAGGGTTCCACTTGCTAAAGTTGCTCCAATCATCTGTGCTGATATATACGCAGGCACCTGTATGTACGTGCAAGTTAAATAAATTGGGTAAGGATAAGATCGATCCATGAGATTTATTGTAATTGTATAATTTTAGCTAGATGAATAGATCAATTTAAAATACTAGCCATTTAATGTCCAACATTATATAAATGAGATATATGAATGTTTTTTACTTGGATTGAATTTTTCTAACGTAGTTAAATCTGATTTGGTCTGGTCTGATAAATGACTGATTTCAGTGTATTTTATAACTATTCAATTCTGGTATAATTTGGTCTGATATGGATTGGTTTGGTCTAGTTTGGTTTGAGGGTGAAAAGGATCTAAATAAAAACATGCTAGTCGATCTCAAGTAATAAAGTTGAAGCCCGCAAATTAACAAGTCATGAGCAACTGGTAGGTGCTAGCATGCAGCCTCAAAATATACTTCGTAATAACTACGACACTAAATGCGCGCGGGCGCAGTTGCTGCTCGCCATAAATTATACCCAATAATGTCGGCTCCATCACCTCACATTTAATCATTTTACGGGTGGGATTGCCAAAGTTAGAAATCAGAATAAATATCCATTCAGTTAATTAATTGGGTGAGAGGTAAATGTATGTTATATTAACACACATGTTAATTACCAAAATTTAATTAATGTTTGTGCGATGCGGTAGAAGGTAATTAAAAAGGGTGTAATGGGTAGATGATGATGAGGAGGAGAAGAGATTGATGGACCTGTTGGAAGGGGAACCTGTTGCAGGATGCAAAAGCAATGGTAACGGCAGGGTTCAAATGTGCGCCGGAGATGTGCCCGACGGAGTAGACCATGACCACCACCGCCAGGCCCCACACTATGGCCACCCCCGGGAACGTCACGCTGCCCTTCTCGGCGTTGACCACCGCCGAGCCGCACCCCGCGAACATCAAGAAGTATGTCCCCAATATCTCTGCAATCAACTACACACTCACACAGCTAGTTCATTATATACTATCGTACTAATTTTGATGCATACAAATTACAATACGTAGCTAGTAATAATTTAATAATGAAATTCGAAATGGATGGGAGATTCACTACGTACGTACCTTTTGGAAAAAAGGGAGGGTTAAACCGAAGCCGCCGCATCCAGCATCAGAAGAAGACATATCGGGATTTGACCTTTCGCCATCCCGTATGTCCACAGCAACCACTTGGTTTCCTGCCATCTTATATCTAGCTAACAGGCCAGGCCGGAGTGGGATTCAATATATGAATGAAGTTATACCTGCCTGCTGCATCTAAACCGGACGAGGAAGCCTCTATTTATATATCTCATGCCCGGCCCTCTCTCTTTGCAGCCAGGACCCACATCCTTTTCTGGTCCTTTCTTTTGACCATCCATACAGCTTTAATTTATTACTTGCGACTTATTTAGGTATATATGCATTGACTCAAAAGTCTTACTACCACACTCCTTCTCTCCAATTTTGATTGTTTCATCTTTCCTCAAATTCCCTACTTTAAGTGGTTCTACAATAATAATTCCTATTAAGGATATTGATGAAAATATTCCGAACTGATAAATTAAACCAGTTCACATAAATAGATAAAGCAAACCGGCAGGGCCGTCTTTTAGAAGGTGCAATAGGTGCTTGGCACCGGGGCCTACTCTTGTAGAAGGCCTCCAAAAATTTAGAGGGTAGTATTAGTTATAGGTTGATTTTTTTAGATTTCATGTATTATTCAAGATTTCAAAAGGCATATAACCTTTAAATTCTCTAATTTATGGACTTTAAACATCATAAAACTTATATTTCGTTGAATTGTCTGTATTATTTGTATTTCATTGTCAAAATTTGCATTTTTCTTGTCTTAGGGGCCTCAATTTGCCATTTTGAACCGGGGCCTCCAAATTCATTAGACGGCCCTGCAAACCGGGTTACCATTTTGTGTGATACAAATCACATACCTATCACCACCTTCCTCTCTATTCACATTACGATCTTATCCCTCCAGGTAGTTTCTCCACCTTTTAATTAAAAGACTTTGACTGTAAATACAGATTTATAATAATTCATTTCGAGCTTCATAATCAACAAAGGTGTTTAGTTACTGTTTTGTGGTTGCTCACGCTGGGATCGGAGTGGAAGGAAGCTAGAATAAATAAATTTTCGTGATTAATTATTATTAGTCCATATATGACTAGGGGAAGAAGAATATGATGAAGGAGTGGGAATGTAGCCTATGAAATGAGAAATTGGTACAAGAATAGGCTGAGAATAGGTGTAATATATATAAAAAAATTGTTATATCCGTTTCATATATTCTAGTTGTGTGAATGACTATTAGTTTGGATTATTGTCATTGATATCTTGAGTAGAGATTTTTATTGTAGAACTTGTTAAAGTAGAGATTATTAGTGTGAATTTCACCTTCACTTTTTGTGGTGGTAGCAGAATAGAATGTCATAGTGGAGAGGTCTCGAGTTTAACTCCAAGTAATGACTTTAGATCAAAGTTCAATTTACATCATTCCAGATAACTGTATGATCGCTTCTAGAGTTTCTCATGGATGGGGTGTTGTTCTTTTTTTGTTTCATTTTTAGTGTATCTTATAAATGTCTTTCTTTTGCGGCACAAAATATTAGTTTATATCATTTCACCTTATTCTACTCAAATCTGAATCATAAATTTTACTTTTCAACCACGTTATTAATAATTGTGTCAAACTAAAATAAGACATTCAATCTATGTTTAAAAAACTGACCCGGCCCAACCATATCGACCCGGAACCCGGCGACCCGGACCGAAACCCGGTTCGGTTAAACTAAAACCTAGAAATGGTAAAAACCCAGAAAACCCCGACCGACCCAATAAAACCCGGTCTGAACCCGAACCCGAAAAACCCGAAAATACCCGGTTTTGGTTGTTTTCCATTTTTTTAAATTTGAAATCATTTTAAATTTTAAATCATTTTTAACCAATAAAATTGCAATTTCAATACCCTAAAAGGAAAAAAAATACTACTTATTTGTTTAAGAATAAAAATCATGTCAAATTATATAATAAATGTCCAATAAAAAAATATGGAATATCATTATATATATATATATATATATATATAAGATCAAAATGGTATTTTGGAATATAATAAGACTTTTTTAACTTTTAAGTGTTTATTAAGTATCATAATAAGTAGATTATTATGAAATAATTAGCTTTTATTTCAGTATTGTATACAATTACATGTTTATTATTGTTAAATGGTTGACCAGATTTATAACGTTGACCGGGTTGACCCGACTGGGTCTGGGTTGACCTGTGACCCGGTCACGCGGCCGGGTCACTTTACTCACTCCCGAGTCCAGTTTCTTAAACATAGCATTCAATGTTTGATGAAAGTATTATTACTTCTTGGCTTTATTTTTTGCTGATACATTACTATACTCAACTCTCGTTTCAAAAAAGACTACAACGACAAGGGGATACAAATGTTAATTACTAAAAAACAAAAAATTGAAAAACTATAAATAACATCAGGACTACTACTTTATCATGTCACAGGATGAAGCTTTTTTATATCACTATCAATTTATTATGTCACTGCCAATTTATGTCGATATTGCTACGACAAGTCGTGGAATATGTCACGTGTATATCTTTTTAAATTTTAAATCATTTTAAATGTGTGTATATACATATTAATTTATGTTGTTATTTTTATTTGTAGAATATACAAAGGTACTTCTTCCCAAAAAGCAATGGCAAGCCAATTATATTAAATAACATAATATCAAGGTATGTTCTATCCTATAATATTATATATTTTGTTTATGTACTTCTTGAAATAGAATCTTCATCTCACATTGTAATTACATTACGTACACATTGTAATTATATTTTATTCATGTTATGATAAAAAAAGTGTGTAAAACAAATAGGTAATAGCTTATATTAATTAGGAATTATTCTGTATTTTGGAAACTTATTATTCTATTATAAATACATCTCTCAGGACCCTCATTAGGGTAACCTGTGCCAATATTTCACATGGTATCAAAAGCCTACGTATCTAAAACCTAAATATTTTTTTTTTCTTCCGCTGCACTCGATGTCCGACGCCGCTAACTCCAGCGCCATCGAGACCTCTGCCTCCACTGTGAGTCAATCGACCACCACAGTCGTCGAGACTAGCACAGCCGCGATCGATGCTCAACTTTCCTCGCCATTCTCGATCAGCGCCGCTCTGTCAACCGCTGCTTCTTCTTGTTCTATCGCAGGCTTAGGCTTCTCCTCAAGCGATGGCTTCTCCGGTGTCTCTCAGGCGGTGTTCTCGGGAGGACCGCTGATTAGCTCCAGTCTCTGGTCCTCGCCCACCGTGTTCCCATTTCTTCAAACTCCCGGGCAGAGCTATTCTTCTCTTCCATGGCAGACGTTTCGCCCAGCCTCACACCATACTCTGCCGCCTCCCTCCTCCATACCGGCCTCACAGTTCTTCGGCTCTACTTTCACCGGATCTCCGGGAGTGGTTCATCCTCCAGAACCGTCTATTTTTGGCAGTCCCATGGCCTCGTTGATACAATCTCTATCTCCTATCTCTAATGTCAGTCAGATTGTGACCATTAAATTGAAAGCTGTTGAAGATTATTTAACTTGGCGTACACAATCGTTTCTGGTCTCACAAGGCCTTTTTGGTATGCTTGATGGTTCTATCCCTGTTCCCCTCATGTATACTGTTGATTTCAATAATTGTCAGGTACCGAATACTGAGTACTATCATTGGTTAAGGGTAGATCAAACTATCCGATCTTGGTTGTTTGCTACTCTTACTCGTGACGTCTTAGTTGACGTACATGATCTTAAACATTCTTTTGGGATATGGGAAAGGTTGCAAACTCGATTCATGTCTGCAAGTTTACCTCGTTGTATGGAATTAAAGCGTCAGTTAAATAATCTTAAAAAGAGGGAAAATCAGTCTATGGATCATTATCTCCGGGATATTAAAAATTTAATTGATGCTCTCGCTGCGGTTAATTCACCAGTTTCGGCCAAAGAATTGCTAGAGTCTACTCTTCGTGGCTTGGGTCCCGAATATGAATCATTGGTCGGTACTATTATGCTTTTTCCCGAACAATTTCCTTTTGAGATATTGCAACCTCGTCTTATGGAGGCCGAACAGCGGGTATTATTCAACCGCCAACAAGCTTCTCAGATTCAGCCCGCTTTTGCGGCTGTTGAACAGCAGCCACCACAGCAACCGTATGCTCCACGAGGTCGGGGAGGTCGCGGCAGGGGAGGCCGCAGCCGAGGCAGAGGTGGTCGCGGACGTCATAATTATGGACAGCGGTTTGGACAACAATATTACGGGCAGCAGCACCAGGCCGGTCCAGTGCAGCAGTTCGGACAGCACGTTGGTCCACCGCTGCCGGTCTAGCCAGGTCTGCAGCAGGTTCATCCGTCGGTTCAGCCCGGTCCGCCTCACGCTGCATCTTCTTCGGGCACTTCAGGTTCTGCTAGTATATCTGTTTTGTCCACTTTAAATACTAATCCCTATTTTATTTATGGTACTAACTCTAGCCCTGCAGGCTTTCCATCTTTTGAGGGTATTCTTGGTTCTATCCCACCGCCTGTTGTTTGTCAGATATGTTTCTCCACAGGTCATTCTGCTATGCATTGTACGTCCCGTTTCAGTCAACACTCTGCTCCTGCATTGATGACTTCCAATGGGGATACTAATGCGTCTTTATGGTTCCCGGATTCCGGTGCTTCAGCTCATATGACTCCATCAGAAGGTATTTTAGTAAATAAATTTCCTTATACTGGATCACATTCTGTTAGTGTTGCCAATGGTTCTCAATTACCTATAGCTAATATTGGTGATATTCCATTATCTTCCTCTGGTTGCCCTCTTGTTTTAAAATCTGTTTATCATGTGCCTCAAATCAAATTTAATTTATTATCTATTCAGAAACTTTGTGCTGATAACAACTGTGTTGTAATTTTTGATAAAAATTCCTTTTTTTGTTAAGGACAAAACTTCGGGGGCGGTCCTTCTTCGAGCACCCAGTAAAGGTCATCTTTATCCTGTCAGCCTCAGTTCTCCGTCATCACTTGCTCTCTCATCCGTGTCTGTTCCAGGCGTCTTGTGGCATCGTAGATTAGGCCATTGTGGCGACTCTATTTTACATTCCTTACATAAGCAAAAACACATTTGTAGTAGCTGTAGTTTTTCTCATGATTGTATTTCTTGCCGTTTAGGCAAATCACAACGTTTACCTTTCTCAGATGCTACTCATTCTTGTTTTCAACCACTTCAGCTTATTCATTCTGATGTTTGGCAATCACCTGTTTTATCCAATTTGGGATTTAAATATTATGTGTGTTTTATAGATGATTTTTCTCGATTTTCTTGGTTGTATCCTGATATGCACTAATTAGTAATGCATAAATGTATGTTTTTATGTTTGATTTGTGTGGATTGTTTACTGTTTTATTTAGTTTGTAAGCATTTGTGTGATTTTAGTTATAATTGTATTTTAGTCTTCATTTATAAGTTGTAAAGTAGATTTAGGACTTATGTTGTTGGAAAAGGAGAGTTTGAAGTGAAGAAAAAGGTGATAAGTGTGCCCAGGAGAACAAACCCGGTCGGGTCAGACCATGCACCCGGTCGGGTCTGATGTAAAATCCGAAACTGCCTGGAAAATCATTAGACCCGGTCGGGTCCCCTACTTGACCCGGTCGGGTCAGACTTGACCCGGGACACCAGAACGTGCCGAAGATCGCCCGAACGTGGAGGATATCTAATTTTGACCGGACCCGGTCGGGTAAGCACCTAACCCGGTCGGGTACCCGGCCCAAGGTGTTGAAAAACACCTATAAATAACCCCATTTTCCTTCACAAAGAATCATCCCTTCTTCCATACTCTTAAGCCCAGTTTAGAATAGTATCTCTTTTATATTTTTATAGCATGTTTAGTCTCCAAATGAGGAGCTAAACTTCCATTTCTTGGTGTTGCTCTTGAAGCTTGTTGATTATTAAAGTTGTGAGTTATTTTCTTATCTTCTCCCCTTGAATATTAATTATTCTCTTAATCTATCTATATATTAATGTTGGGGAGTGTTGCTAAGATGACAATTAGTTAACATCTCGACATTAGTTATAGTAGTATTCATTTTCTTCCTCTATATATTAATGTTGGGGAGTGTTGCTAAGATGACAATTAGATAACATCTTGACATTAGTTATAGTAGGATTATTCATATTTAATCTTCTTCCTTGAATATTAATTCTTCCCTTAATCTATCTCTATATTAATGTTGGGGAGTGTTTGTGACACCGCACCCGAATGTACTTGAATTTGAAAGTGGATATGTATTTGATTTTTTCTAACGAAGAAATTGTGTTTTGATTGGTACATTTAATTAATGTGCGATTAATTAAATTATTTATCGAGCCCATAATAATGGGAATGAGCTACCAAATTTTTAGTTGGGTTATCATAATAATTTAAGGAGCCCAATAAAGGGTCAACCAAAGTTGATAAAAATATTTGGACAACCCGAATGCTATTTTGGCCCGACCTACCGAAAATAGCAGGAATAATTGGGAGGGACTTCCTACACCCACTTGGGGTATCCTATACACTAAATTAGCTCAAATAATAAGGGAGGGGGCCACACAAACTTGGCTTGTGCGGATGGTGGGAATGGGAAGTCTCATTGAGACAAAACCCACTCACCCATGTCCTATCCCACACCTTGTGATGTGTTGGTTGAGAAGGACTCCTCCCCTACCCTCCTTGATTCATTCGAACAACCAAGAGAGAAGAGCCCAGGGAAAACTAAAGCTCTCAAAAGCCATAGTTGGGGGGAAGCAACAAGAGAAGAAATCCAAGGAGAAAAGAGTTGTTCTTGAGGTAAGAACACAACCATCATTCTTTAACTAGTATTATTTTTGTATGATTTTTAAAGAAATCATATGGTGGATTAAACATGAAGTTCTACACGTTTAAAAGTGTAGAATAATGTTATAAAGTGGTGGTATTTAACTTAGAAGAGTCGTGGAATCGATAGGAGTTGAAATCGCCGGAAACCGCCAAGTATAGGAGGCTGTTCGTAGCTGCAGACCACGAAAGCCGCCCACCTTTCACGAAAGCCGCCCGGCTTTCGTCTGCTGCCCAGATTTTTCATCTCCAAACGGCTTAGAACGGGGATTGATCAGAGGGCTTAACAAAGGCAACTATTTCAGCACTTCATAAGGTGAGGATGGCTGACTATATTGCTTATAATCTTTGGGTTAATTTCATGAGATTACCTAAGGTAATTAAATATGTTTTTAAGGATTATTAATGATTAATAATGCCTAAGAATGAGAAGACTATGGTCTATAAGGAAAAGAGCATAATATACAAATTTGTAAGAGATTGTGTATGATTATGTGATATGAAAGAAATGGTATGGTAATGGAATTAACTATGAAAATTGTGATAAAATATACTTTACTTCATGTATGAAATTCATGAATGGATAAAAGTGATATTTTTGATATTGGGATTAAATCATATTTGGATTGGAAAATCAATTGAGATAACTATTTGGCTATGAATTTAGAACTTGGTTGTTCTAAGGTTATTCGACTAGTATCGAAATACTAGTCGGGAGATTTATATAAATAAATGATGGAATTAATCCTAAGAGATAGGATTGTGAATAGATATGTCTTAAGTAGTCTTAAGAGATGCTTTAAGGTCGAATTGTATGAACACTAAGGTGTGTTAGGGGTAGGCCTAAAGGCTATCCAAGTGAATTGATTCTAGGCATAGGATTTGCTTGAGAATTGAGCTATGAAAATAAATTAGAGTCGGACTCTAGGATTACATGGAAATGTAGTTGGGCCGAGCCCTTGCCATGTAACGTGATTAGCATGGAAACGTAGTTGGGCCGAGCCCTTGCCGTGCATTGTGATCTTCATGGAAACGTAGTTGGGCCGAGCCCTTGCCATGAAGTTATGGTTGGTATGGAAACGTAGTTGGGCCGAGCCCTTGCCATACAAATTTAGATATATTAAATTGAGTTAAAGGATTGTATAGAAATGTAGTTGGGCCGAGCCCTTGCTATACAATCGGGACTCGAGGGAACCCTATGGGGTTGTCGTGACTCATGGTCACGGAAAGTGAAAATGGTAAATTCTAAATGAATATGGGCCCACGGGCCGACTACTTGACTTTATATAAAGTAAGTATATTTATAAAACAGGGTAACCGGGGGTTACGGCCTACGATATAATATCACTCTATTTGAGGGTCTTAAGGAAATTGAAACATTGATTATACTTAGTATAGTTGTCATTGTACTTGTCAAATGCTTCCAAGTACTGACCTCCCCTTCACGGGGGAGGCCACCTCACAGTTTCAGGTAGAACTTGAAGAGTTGCTGCCACCACCCGTTGCTTCGGGGAGATCAAGGGAAGAAGACGTGGTTCGTGCTTCTTCCGTTTCTGTTTTGAAAACAATTTGAATAATGCTCATGGATATTATTTTTGAATAATCATTCGGGGGCTTGTATGCCCATGTTTGCCGAGTGTGGCGTAAACACTTGTATTAAATGTTTCCGCTGCTTAAATGAATATTTTACATTATGCTTGTTTATGGATGTACTATGTGTGAATGGTATTCAAGACGCCTTGTATAGTATGGATGAGTTGGACTGCGGTTGACTATTCGTACTGTACGGCGGGTTGTTGACGTGTCCGGATAGGTCCGGGGCGTGACAATTTAATTGGTATCAGAGACTTAGTCCGTAAACTTCATAATGAAGCTTCAAAATTCCTTTTTGAAAATGATTTTGGAAACCATGAGCATAAAGTTTTGTACTTATAGAACTTTTGGTACTTGAGTTGCAAGGTCTCTAATTGTTAAGATGGTACCCTTAACAATTGGCATGGCGGCGATTTGAGCCAAAGGATGTCTTTAAGTGCCTATCCGTCATTTGACATTTGATACGGGTCTAATGACTCAATCTCTATCTCTTTCAGAAATGGAACGTACCGGTAAAGTCACTCGAAGAAACCCGACTGGCCAGGCACCGGGAGGATCCCAACATGGCAGTCGAGGGGCATCGAGGGCGTCTCGTGGGCAGGGCCGTGCAGGTCACTCATTAACGGTGAGTGACGGTCATGTGGAGACAATTGATGAACAGTATGACTCCGAGGAGGATTCAACGTATCAACCGGGAACCGAACCGGTTGAGACCCCATATGATGGGGAATATGATGATGATGATGATGAGAGCGACGATAATGACGCTCTAGAAAGGATGGAGGAGCTGCTCCGTCAATACCAACAGGATCGCCAAACGCGCCGGGCAATGCGTGCTTTGGGAGGGGCTTCCAGGGGAGGAAGTCGTGTGAGTTCTAGGGGACATGTAGAGTCCCGGAATGATCGAGGTACCGAGGTCCCGATAAATCGGATCTCAAAGTACCTCAAAGAGGCAAGAGACTTGGGGTGTAAACCATTTGATGGAACGGGAGACATCTCCATTGCGGCCGAGTGGATCAAGAGATTCAATGAAGCGGCTCTTGATATGCAACTGCCGCCAAACATGAAGATGAGAGTAGCAACGAGGTTGCTAGAAGGAATGGCGTCCACGTGGTGGGACGGAGTCAAGGGGAAGTATGGTGAGAATGTCACTTGGGAGAATTTCCGGCAGGAATTCTTCAACCAATACTACTCCGACTTTGAGGTGAACTTGAAAAGGAGGGAATACACCAACTTGACCCAAGGAGGCAAGTATACCGTGAGGCAACTTGAGCATAAATTCAGGGAGCTTGCCGAGTTCATACCGGAGTATGTTTGCGACGAAAACCGAATGGTTAACCACTTTTGGGATGCCTTGGATTTAGACGTGCGTGAGAGGGCAACACAATTGCCAAACATGACGTTTAGTTAGGTGGTTGAACAAGGTTTGAAAGGAGAGAAAGAATGGGAGGAAAGGAAGATGAAAAACGCCGAGGAGGCGAAGAAAAGGAAATGGGAGAGCATCGGCCCTCAAGGTTCTAGCAAAAGGGGGAACCACGGGGGAGGTGGATCTTTTAGAACACCCGCACCCCCATCTAGGGGAAATCAAGGCCCAGGAGGGCAAGGTTCGAGGTCGCAGGGCTCGGGCGTAATGAGGTGCAACAATTGCAAAAGAAACCACTCGGGCAAGTGCCGTGATCCCCCACGGTGTTACCAATGTGGGGAGGCAGGACACTTGAGATCGAATTGCCCACAACTTGGGCGAGCCATGGGTGCAGGACCTAGCAGCGGGACTACGGCAAGTAGGAACCGGGCAGGATTACCTCATGGGAGCACGGGGCACGGCGGGCCAAGTACAAGCAACGCACCCTCCGTGAACCAAGGGAAGGCCCAAGCTAGGGTCTATGCAATGACGGAAGCCGATGCTCGTGCTAATCCGGACTCGGTTGCGGGTAATTCCTTAAACTTTTGACGTTAATCCTTGTTGAACAATATAAGTGTTTAAAATGAACAAGTTGTAAGGCCTTTGGCCAACCGGGCATGTTTTTAGCTCGAGGAAGGGAAATTATATCCACCTGGGACGAAAGCCGCCCGGCATTGACGGAAGCCGCCCGGCTTCCGCTTTCGAATTTCTTGCAAAATTCTACGGTGACTATAAGGCGCCCGACTTTGACGAAAGCCGCCCGGCTTTCGTACTTAATTTTGTTAAAATCTTTCGGCGGAGGACAACCGGCCGGGTTTCGTAAAAACCGGCCGGCTTGTGTTCAGGCATCTCCGGGTGAGGCGCTACTAATGAAAACCGGCCGGCAATCGTAAGAACCGGCCGGCTTTTATAAATGAAACCTTTGTAATTCCTTCGGTGACCGAAAACCGGCCGGCTTTGGCAAAAACCGGCCGGCTTACGTAACCAGCCATTCCGAGCCGTAGGCCAAGGCACGAAAACCGGCCGGCTTTCACGAAAAGCGGCCGGCTTTCCCTTATTGGTGCACGGTGTTGGTTTTTGGGTGGGAACCGGGATGGAGTCGGGATGGGGCGTTAGATGACGATCATCCAAACCATAGCCGGGGTATTCTACAACCTAAGAAATGAGTCTAATAAGTAGGGAGTGTGTCTTACATTGCTTATGAATGTAGGAACACTAAAGATTAACGGGAGAGACGCGAGAATCCTTATTGACACTGGGGCGCAACGATCATTCGTGAGTGAGGCGTTTGCCGGGGGATTCGAAGAACCACTTGTGCCGATGGCTCAAGCCCTATTGGTATCCACACCTTTAGGGGAAGACATCGAGAGAGATAGCCACTATCCATCGTGTGAGGTGGAAGTGGAGGGCCAAAGCTTGACGTGTGACTTCGTACCGCTGAGTATGATTGAGTTCGATGCAATCCTGGGGATGGATTGGCTTGAGAAACATCATGCTAGGGTCGATTGCTACACAAAGATACTTGAACTCGAAGGCGATGAAGGAATAACCTTACGCTTCGAGGGGGATCGGGCCAAATCCAATAGTTGCATCATATCCGCCGTGAGAGCTAGGAGTATGATGAGAAAGGGTTGCCACGCATATCTAGCATACGTGGTAGACAAAACAAAAGAAGAGACGAGCATTGATGATGTGAGGGTGGTATGCAAGTACCCGGACGTCTTTCCAAAGGACTTACCGGGACTTCCACCCGATAGGGAGATTGAATTTGTGATCGAGGTCGAGCCCGGCACCAAACCAATCTCCATACCGCCATACCGCATGGCACCCGCAGAACTTAATGAGTTGAAAACCCAATTGCAAGAGCTTTTGGATAACGGTTTCATTAGACCAAGTCACTCCCCGTGGGGAGCACCAGTCCTTTTTGTGAAGAAGAAGGATGGAACACTTCGAATGTGCATTGACTATCGTCAACTGAACAAGGTCACAATCAAGAATAGGTATCCTTTGCCTAGGATTGATGACTTGTTTGATCAACTACGAGGAGCAACCGTGTTTTCAAAGATTGACTTGAGGTCGGGGTACCATCAATTAGACCTGCACAAAAGCGGGTTCGGGCCGGGCTCGGGCCGGGCTTTCCATAAGTTTTCTGCCCATCGTGTGTGGGCGGGCCCGGCCCGGCCCGCAAAAACGGGCCTAACCCCATGTCCATACCCGCCCGTAAGAGCGGGCCGGGTAGTCCACCGGGCCGCCGGGCCCAGTAAAATTTTAAATTTTTCAAAATTATGTAATTTATTTCATACTTTATAAATAATATTACAACATTTAAAAAAATTGCTAATACGCTTATAATGTATATAGGCCTTTCATCACATACACAAAAAATATTTACACAAAAATAATAATGAGAAACTATATCTAAAATTTAAAATTCCAGCACAAAGTATTATCTTTAAGTACAAAAATAGATATTATATTGGTTGGACTATTTGTTAAGAACTAAAAACTTAAATTTAAACATAATAAACTATAAATATGTATACAGATAAATTAGTAAATATGAAAATATACAAGTGTACATGTAAATAAATACATAAATTAGTATATATAAAAATATATATGTATATATACTAAATGTAGCGGGCCGGGCTTATCGGCCCG